CTAATAATAATACCCGGCCTCCTCTGCCCCGGCCGGAGCTCTGACGACGCAATATATAAAAAAAAAATATCTCGTCGTCAGAAAGCTACGTTATCGCAGCTAGGTGGGGGGGAGCCATAGCCCCAGGTCAGGATACAACGGTTGAAGTACAGATGGAGACTTTGGGGATCATGACCCTCAAAGAAGCTCTAGAAAAACTACCGCAAAAGGGACCCATGAGAATTCACCTAGGCCTATATTTTAGTTGGCCTAAAACCTCACGGGACGGGTAGTTACAGATCTATGCCTTTTCTAATAACAGTCCCGGATACGGACAAGCATCGCAAAGCGGGAAAGTTTAAACCTGTCAAAAGGAGATCAGGATTAATCCAGTAAAAAAAGAATCGTTAAGATATTCCTTCAACAACTAAAACTGAAAAGATAGAAGAATTGAAATACGGTAGGGAAATTAAACTCGAAGATAGAGGAAGAAGGTTTGGAGACTTGAAATATGATGCAGGTTGAAGTACAGATGGAGACTTTGGGGGATGACCCTCAAAGAAGCTATTATTGCTGAGAAACAACGACGGCAAAAAATGTGGGAAAGAAAAGTATGAAATGTTTCGTTGTTTCAGACTTAATTGGATATGCTAATGATAAAAGTTGTTAAAGGCAAATGCATTATATGTTTAAAGCCGATGGCTACAAATACCGTGCCCGAACTGGCCGAGTGTAGGTGTGTACGGAATTAACAGACTGTACTGGGAATGAACGTTACTTAAATACCCAATACACATCAACGGACTAATCTCATTGCATGTAGAAGTGTGTGTATATATGTCGGTTTTCTAAATACGAGTTTCAACGAGTAAAATTTGACCCGCCAAATTCTAACACTGTGCCAATACATACACATTTTTGTGTCATTTCGTATATTCTTGACAATACATGTAATACGGTATAAAGTATAGACTTCGGCTATACTGACTGTATATTGTACTTGGTGAAAACAATACCACTACACATCACACGTGAAAATGAAGTTAATACATGTACATGTATATAACATGCAGGAGGTTATTATAGGTTTAGGAACGTGCATGGAGAGGTGAGGAGGGAATAATAATAAAAACGGGTGCGGAAACTCAAACCAGGTGCAATTACCTTTGATTTCAAGACTGTTCGGCACAGGAGTGAAAACTAGTCAGCTCTTACTATGTACATAGACTTCTGACTGGTGGCCAGCATTTAAAACTACCTATATCCGTCTGTGACATTGGTGTCTGACCATTAGGACACGTTCTGACAAGCGATAGTATTATCACTGTTCATTCGTGTCATTTAAATTCGTGTATTTTTAATAGAATATTTAAGTCTCGTTTATACCCTTCATACTGTGTTACGTATTAATAACCAGGAAATACACACGAACCTCCGCTGGTGATCTGTTGACAGACCGCCTGACTAACTTAACACAGAGTATATCAAAATCTGAAATAAGTATGTTTCGTAAAGCTCTCTCTGTTTCAAGCTGATTCAGTTGCACATTTTATGTATAAACACATACGCGAGCTACACATTGTTATATATTTGTATTCCATGACTGAACAGACATCGTTCGATGTTTTAGATTAGCCAGACATTAAGATAACAAGACTTATAGACTATGGATTTTTCCCGATGAGATAACGTAATATCAGTCAACATGTAAGCTAACAAGACTTAAAGACTAGGGATTGTCCCCGAGTAGATAACGTTATATCAGTCAACATGTAAGCTAACAAGACTTAAAGACTATGGATTGTCTCCGAGTAGACAATATAATATCAGTAAGTATGGATTATCATGCAATGTTACTTCACCTGGTCAATTTGGCCTACCATTGACAAGGGACGAACCGTGCCATCATTCTGGACATGTATCCGTCTAAAGAATGCATGGTGTTATAATATTATCTTACTAAGATTAGCTGTGTGACACCACTGCTAGGATATTAGAATCACTAGATACTAGACATGGTCTTGAAATCAACCTTTTAACGGGGAACTAACACGTAAAAATATATCCCGAGAATTAGTTTAAAATATTATTGAGATCGGAGGAGATAATGTAATGATTGTAATGTCTGTCTGTCTGTCTGTTTCACCTCCGTTTCCGCACAACTACTTGAGTTCAAGTGTGACAAATTTTCTCAATATTTTATACAAGTGTTCGCCATTAAATTTCAAAATTTCATATAATACGTCATCACTAAAATTTAAGTCTTAAGTTTAAGGATTTCGTTTAAGATACAGTGTCAAAGTTCGGGTATCTATCACTACGAAACAGCAAAACGGCTTTCTTCACAATATTTCGAGAGAACAGATCACACTCAAACTTCTTACGCTACTTCCTAACCAAACACGTTTGCTTGGTATCGCTTTTCAGATCCGAATGTCAAATGCCAAGATATCATTTTAAGTCCGAAGGGGAAAGGTTATAGTCACTGTGTAAATATAGAAAATTAGTTATCGCTCAATATAGCTCAAACAATATCTAGCTAGGCTTAACAAAAAGGCATTAAGACCGACGTAGCTCAAACAATATATAGCTAGGCTAACAAAAAGCATTAAGACCGACATAGCTCAAACAATATCTAGCTAGGATAACAAAAAAGCATTAAGACCGAAATAGCTCAAACAATATATAGCTAGGTTTAACAAAAAGGCATTAAGACCGAAGTATCTCAAACAATATATAGCTAGGCTAAAAAAAAAGCATTAAGCCCGACATAGCTCAAACAATATCTAGCTAGGATAACAAAAAGGCCATAAGCCCGAAGTAGCTCAAACAATATCTAGCTAAGCTTAACAAAAAAGCATTAAAACCGACGTAGCTCAAACAATATCTAGCTCGGCTTACAAAAAAGCATTAAGACCGAGGTAGCTCAAACAATATCGAGCTAGGATAACAAAAAGGCAATAAGACCGACATAGCTCAAACAATATCTAGCTAGCATAACAAAAAGGCAATAAGACCGACATAGCTCAAACAATATCTAGCTAGCATAACAAAAAGGCAATAAGACCGAAGTAGCTCAAACAATATATAGCTAGTATAACAAAAAGGCAATAAGACCGACATCGCTCAAACAATATCTAGCTAGGCGTACAAAAAAGCATTAAGACCGAGGTAGCTCAAACAATATCGAGCTAGGATAACAAAAAGGCAATAGGACCGACATAGCTCAAACAATATCTAGCTAGGCTTACAAAAAAGCATTAAGACCGATATAGCTCAAACAATATATAGCTAGGCTTAACAAAAAGGCATTAAGACCGAAGTAGCTCAAACAATATATAGCTAGGCTTAACAAAAAAACATTAAGACCGACGTAGCTCAAACAATATATAGCTAGGCTAACAAAAAATCATTAAGACCGACATAGCTCAAACAATATCTAGCTAGGCTTACAAAAAAGCACTAAGACCGATATAGCTCAAACAATATATAGCTAGGATTAACAAAAAGGCATTAAGACCGAAATAGCTCAAACAATATATAGCTAGGATTAACAAAAAGGCATTAAGACCGAAGTAGCTCAAACAATATCTAGCTAAGCTTAACAAAAAAGCATTAAAACCGACGGAGCTCAAACAATATCTAGCTAGGCTTACAAAAAAGCACTAAGACCGATATAGCTCAAACAATATATAGCTAGGCTAACAAAAAAAAGCATTAAGACCGAAGTAGCTCAAACAATATATAGCTAGGCTAACAAAAAAGCATTAAGACCGATATAGCTCAAACAATATCTAGCTAGGCTAACAAAAAGCATTAAGACCGATATAGCTCAAACAATATATAGCTAGGCTAACAAAAAAGCATTAAGACCGAAGTAGCTCAAACAATATCTAACTAGGCTAACAAAAAAGCATTAAGACCGATATAGCTCAAACAATATCTAGCTAGGATAACAAAACAGCATTAAGACCGACGTAGCTCAAACAATATCTAGCTAGGATAACAAAAAAGCATTAAGACCGACGTAGCTCAAACAGTATCTAGTTAGACTTAACAAAAAAGCATTAAGACCGACGTAGCTCAAACAATATCTAGCTAGGCTTAACAAAAAAGCATTAAGACCGAGGTAGCTCAAACAATATCAAGCTAGGCTAACAAAAAGGCATTAAGACCGAGGTAGCTCAAACAATATCTAGCTAGACTAAAAAAAAAAGCATTAAGACCGAAGTAGCTCAAACAATATCTAGCTAGGATAACAAAAAAGCATAAAGACCGACTAGAAACACAGAGTCTACATATACCTCACAAAAATGGTGCCTCGAGGCGGGGTTATTTGAGAAAGGGGGAAACATTAATTTGGTTGGCAGTATTGTTTGGCTGCAGTGGAGGTGGGTGGTCTTATTATCAGACATGTGGTTATTGTCGGACAGACACTGTAACCTCTCCTACCTTCATATCCTACTCGCCTTAGTACGATCTAGACTCATTTATTTATATTCACTCAATTAATTTGGCATTAACGTTATTAAATGAAAAACTGTACAGAATATAGAACTTTAACCTGTTGTGACTCAGTTTTGTTCTATAGGAAAATTACATTTTCAAGTAAACATGGATATTGTATATTATAGCAGTCTATCCCGTGTTAATTAACAAAACAAAAATAACAAGTGTTGTGGGGTAGAGATATTGTATCTCTGTCCTTTCAGTGAAAAAATGAAGATCAGTAGACTATAGCTAGCTCAAGAAAACTAGTTTCACATGAGAGAGTAAGGAATTAATACCATAACGCTTTACGGTAGCAATTTAAGATATACTAATAGATACGTGCATAGATTGCAAATTTTCTGTAGGATGTATGTACGAAATTAGATTTATCTTAGTTCTGACCGTGTATATCTTCAGAGATATATATATTGTAATATAATATACCTCTCTGATATCTCGTACTTGAAGCGATTTCTATAGTTATGCGTTTCGTTTTAAAGTGTGAATCTTAAATTTCATGTAACTGAAGGCGCCATTTTTGACTGATAACAACAAACCGGGAAGACTGCGAGAATGACTGAGAGTGCTCGATAATGGTGCTTCAACCAGTAAATACACTTTTTAATATTAACAAGACAATGAAATATTTATATATCATAGAAAATACATGCGTATGTGATGTTTTAGCTCCGGAGTTTAATGAGTTTGTTGCGAAATTCCACTTGCTCACCCTTGTCATGCTGTTTGAGATACATTATTATGTATGGAGATTTGTGGAGAATCCTCTCTATATCAATTATGAAAAAACACTTCTTTTAAAAAAATATCTCACTTCAGTGATGAAAAATTGACAACCACGATCCATGTGTATTTTGAGCAAAAAATATCAAAACAACCCATTCTTAGCCTAAGAATAGGTTGTTTTGATATTTTTTTGGTAAAATCAGTAAGACTTTGGTGCCAAAACTATCGGCTACCGAAACGTCTAGGATTCAGTAAAATATTGACCCCCTCCTTTTTAGCCCACCATCATCATCATCAGATGGTGGGCTTTTCAAATCACTCTGTGTCCGTCCTTAAACACCTTGTACTAGAGTCTGGAGGGATCTTTTTAAAATTTCAAATTTAAGGGTTTCCTCTTGGTTGAACCAGGGTTAGCCACTTACTTGTTTGGTAGTCCACAGGACTNGAAAATTTTCAGGGGGGGGGGGATTTCTTGGAGCCCAAAACATCCCTCTGGATCCCCCACTGGATTATTTACTAGTCCTTCGTTGATGTAACTAGTCCAAGAATTCCTTATAAGGAAACATCACGATCTACAGCATGAAACATCAAAAGTAATTGACTGTAGGGGACTTAAAATAACTACTGCCATGAAAAGATGGTGAAGTTTAAGGAAAATTTTGACAATTATCATGCAATATATATTGTTTTAAGCAGTTTTCTAAATTCTTATTTTATTATCATATTTTCCATAAGTCCAAAGGACCAGTTAGGTTAGGTGATTCACTAGTCCTTGCTGAAATCTACTAGTCCAGGACTAGCGGACTAGTGTTAGTGTCGACCAGTGGGTTCTTATTGATGCATATCAATTTTTGGACTGATCTGAAAACCAAGTTGCGTATAGGTGGTCATCTGGTTTCAGTTTAAGTTAGTTATTGTTATTTCTCAGAATGCACTGGAGAAATCTTTCTTAAATTTTATATGTAGGTTCCCCTTGGTTGTGCATGTTAACTTTTGAGGTTGATCAGAAGATTGATTAAGATGGTGGACAGGCAAACTGATCAAACAGATATAAGAGAAAAGAAGAGAAAAGATCAAACTGACAAATAGAACTAATGAAGATGGTACGATGGTGGGCGCCAACATCCCTCTGGGATCTCTTGTTTTATATTCATCTTGCTCTTGTGTATTTCGAGTGGTCAAATGTGTTATCTGCTCAAGAATATGTGAATGTGACCCTGTGTTTGAATAGAACAGATGTACATTTTGTACTATCAGAAAAAAAAGATGGCACATTGATCATGAAACAAAACTATAATTGGCAAGTGAAGAGAGTAATGTGAAATTTTATTAGGTCACCTGAGACAAAGTCTCAAGTGACCTATTGCGATCGCCTTTTGTCCGTTGGTGTCCGTCGTGTGTAAACAATTTACATTTTCGACTTCTCCTCAAAAACCACTGAACCAATTTCAATGAAATTTTGCAGGAACTTTCCATGGACAGAGGTCAACAAAAAGAGTTGCCGGTTTAGTCCCAAGCCCCCAGGGGCCTGAGGGGCGGGGTTAAAAAGGGTCAAATTGACTAAAATTATAAAAATCTTCTTCTCAAGACCCAGATATGGTAGAATCAAATACTCTTCATAGATGGAAGGGTCTTAAGGTGCTTTACAAAAATTGTGAATTTCTTGACCCTGGGGTCTCACGTTTTCCCCTGGGGAGGGGGTAAACTTTACTATAGTTTATATAGGGAAATCACATTTTGGACCAACATTTGTTTAATTTCCATTGGAAGTAATTCAATTTAGGTTAGCATTATCAGTATTAGGTAGCAGTTTGATAGTATGCACATATCAGCCCTGACTGACCCCCCGGGGCTGATGGGTGGGGCCAAAAAGGGTTGAATTGACTGAAATTTCAAAATCTTCTTCTCAAGACCAAGATATGGTAGAATCAAACACTCTCCATAGATGGAAGGGTCTTAGTCTTAAGGTTTATGACCCTAGGGTCTCACGTTTACACCCTGGGGAAGGAAGGGTGGAGAGGGGGAGGCGGCAAAATTTATTATGGTTTATAATGGCAAATGATACTTTGAATATTACATGTTAATAACTTGATTGGAATTATAACCTTGAGTTGACAGTTTGATACTTTCAAAAATTTTGAGGGTACTAGGGTGGGGCCCAAAGGAGTCAGTGTGTTAAAAATTCTGCTGTTAACTAGAGGTCAATGACCCTAGCGAATCCATTGAAAAAATAATAATTTCTATTACATTGTTATGTTGTCACGTGGAGTCTCAGGAAATATTCATAAAAGTATGCAGTTATACTTTCACAAGCATCGCTATGACCCCTGAAAATATCATTATGAGCTCTTCGCTGTATGGGGAGAATTTCACACTGTAAAATACTAGCCGCTTCCTAATGACACAACTAGCGAAGGTATTGAAAAAGTAATTACTTCTGTTAAAGAGACAACGCTAGCTCTGTGATATTTGTGAAAGCACCCAGTACATATATGATTGCAATTGTAAATATAATACACGTATATATGCATTTTATTCAGTGTTTTGCTATGCTTGCAGGTGCTTAGCCTTACCATTGCCTGTGATGAGTGAAGGAAGGAATGCAGATCTAGACTCTTGTCCAAAGAGTCATGCAATATTCAGATTCTGTGTGAAGAAAGGCAAAGCTAAGAAAAAGGAATTTAACTTCAATTTGTTCAATGTAGAAAAAGGTTTGTTTCTGGTAATGATTCGAAATAAGGCCAAATGAATGAATACAAATATTTATCTTAATCAAGTATTGTGTAAATTGCAAACAGCAAACATAAACTCTGAACAGCTTATGATGGCAAGCTAAGGGAACAAATGCAATTTTGGTGGCAGAGGAAACATTATGAGGGGAAAAAAGCACTGGGCAATTAGAGGGCTAACAACTTGCCATATCAGACATTTTCTTTTTCGGAAAATTTAGCCATCTCTGGCAATCAAACCAAAAATTGAACTCAATATAGCAGATTGAGTGGTCTGATGTTCAAGCTTGCTGTAGTGTTATCAATGTGCTTGTAGCAATCATGGCTTCAGGAGGCACCCCAGAGTATTCTGTGTAGCAGGACTGGGACAGGCTGTTAGGGAGATCAGTCATTTACTAACAGTGCCTGTGATCATGACCAACTGAGGCTGAACTCTGCTTCAAATGCTTTGTGTGCTCTTTGCAAGGAGATACCAAACCTTGTTTGTAAATAGTGTTGTATTCTGTGGTGAAAGTCTTTCTATTCTAATCCATTTGATGGTTGATTTTTAGGGGAAGCATGCATATGGTGCTACAATGAAATTAAATTTAATGGTAATTAAGTGATTGCATACCTGTTAGTTAATGCTACCCAGGACCGGGATTAGTGAAAAAATATCCTCTTTATGCTTTGGTCCATAGCATACCTAACAAAAATACAGATGAACAGTATAGGTGTCTCTTTAACCTCTGATTTTAAGAATAATATGTAACATGAGGTATTAATTGCTTTTAGAAAAGGTAAATAATTACATTAATATTTTTTCTAGAGCTTGGACCTGGGAATAAAAACTGGTTTGAAAATGCTACTGCCCAGAAAATTCAACAGAAGAAACAGAAGCATGAAGATAATAGTGTCCCACTGTGTACACCAAAGGATAAAATCAACTCTCAGCAGCTTTACAGATCAACCAGCACAAGTGAGTTAAAGTTGTTCTGAGGCTCACTGTTAGTACTATAGCCAGGGGTTTTGCCAGGTGTTTATCGGGTCCCATACCTACAGGGACCCATTCCCAATAGAAAAATGACCCTGTATTTTCCCAATTTCTGTCTTTATTTTCCCGATTTGATTAAAAAACATGTTTATACAAGTTTCCAGTCATTATATGTGCAATACCGTCTATGAAGGAGCATTCAAAATTGCTGGTATTTTATAATATATTTAATACTGGAACATACCTATCTTAGTGCTTAACTTGAAGCACTAAATTATGATAATCTCCACATATAAAATTAATGTATTCTTTCACATTATAATAAGGAAAGTAAAGATAAGTTGTAAATTATTGCCAGTGCACAACAAAGGTGTAAAGTTCCACTAGCCTTAAACCCAGGGCTAGTAGATTTTATGTTGGGACTAGTGACAATTTTCAATATTTCAAATCAAAATATAGTTGGTTTGTTTTTTGCAATTTGGACTAGTACTCTGAATAGAAAATTGTACTACACCTGTACAAAAATATTCGTCCATTTAGTTTTTGTTTACAGAATTCCATACTTTGTTTAAAAACCAAAGATCCTAGACTGAAAAGTCTCCACTGTATGGTGTAAGCTAGAACTGATGTTAGATTTTGTTGTAATTTTCATCTAGTTGTGATCTTTTTCAGGTTCAGAATCATCAGAGAACAAATTCTATTTCAAAATCCAGAGATTGCTGACATCTCAGACTTCAACTCCAAGTCAAACAGAAGGATGGCTGGCACCGGTTCTGGGAGCAAGGTAGATCATCTCTTAAACTGGTTTCAGGATGTTTTTATTATTATTGTTTGCGCGCTTTGTCAACTTACGATTACTCATACACGTATATGGAAATGTAAGATTTACATTGCACGTACATGTTTCAAGCCATGTCTCATGACTTGAAGGTTTTTTATTATGTACTTATCCACATTTTCGTGAACTATAATGGTATTTATGATTACAAGAGGGCAAAATGAAGAACATTACAAATGCTTGAAAGCTGCCCATACCAGCCGCTGCACTGACAGGTAATATCATAGAACGGTGCAAGACGTGTTAAATATATTTGTAAATGTTTCAAGCCACATACATATATATCTATATCAATTAATTGCCATATTAGACTGTTTCGTTGAGCATATCCACATGACATTGCGTACACAGGGACTTGACACGTTCCTATGACCCAGAATGAAAAAAAATAAGGACATCTTTCAAGCATGTGTAATAATCTTCATTTTGCCCTCTTGTAATCATAAATACCATTATAGTTCACGAAAATGTGGATAAGAACACATGCAACGAAACATGCAAGTCATGACACATGGTTTGACACATGTACATGCAATGCAAATTTTACATTTCCATATACGTGTATGCGTAATTGTAAGTTGACAAAGCGCTCAAACAACAAGTCTCCGAAAAAGATACAATGTTGTACACTGCTTTTGATTACAAGGACGACACCGACCTCAAACGTTCTATCGACCAATCGACAAGCCAGATACAGTGAGTGACACGCTGAAACAACCGTTCGGTTTGTAGGCGTGGTCTTTTTGAACACGACTTGTTGACGCCGTAACGATTTTGATTGTAGTGTTTATATATATGATCTAGACACGAGCATCCCTGTCTGTCATTGCATGATTTTATAGTCATTGTGACGCTTGCAACGCTAGGTGACATATAGGTATTATTTTGGCGGTTGCGCCGTCTGAAACAAGGTTTCCGTGCGAAAACGTGAATTCTATTTTATTGCCAAAAAAGGGCATTGTGTAGTAAATGCAAGAACTTTTTTTATTTTTTAATCAATTCCATTCAAATATTGTATGGTAATGCTAGAAGCAATAATGTTCTTCATATATTACAGGTTTTTCTGTTGAGTTTCATCTTTCCTCGTTTTGGCATATCACACTCGACATAGCAACGCTGTTCATCGTTTTTGCCGTTAATTTTTGCTTGTTTACAAGATAACTCAAGCCAAATCAATTTTCTCAATAAAAGCGCTAAGCAGGCGACATGTCCACTCTTGTGGAATTCTTATTTTTATCAAGTAGGTAAAAAGTTGTTTTCCTCTGTCCCATAGGAGCATCATATTAGGCTAGCTTGGCATACTTACTTTTCTTCACTTATCAGGGATAACATGTGTTTTGTTTGACTTATATCAAACTGATCTCTATGCATGCCATCCACAAAATAGCACTTAATAAACTAAAGGGTGATGTAATGATAGCTTCGCAAACAATGTGGGGCCAAGAATAATAGACTGGAACTTAATGAAGGATAACCAGTCATGTTGTAATAAAACAAGTCTGTTCACTTCACAAAATATGTCATCATTAAAGGTTTTGAGATATAGGGAATAGGTAGTTATAAAATGAGACCTATAGATCATGTATGGTTCTTTGTGACTAAATACTAATACATTGGTTGCAGTCCCGCTAGTTACTGGTTAAAATAACTTTATCAAGTGTTCTGTTTGAATTTTTCAGGATGTCATTGATATTATTGAATAAAATTATAATGTACATATGTACAATTATATACTTCTTGCAGACAACTCTCTAATAGGATAATCAGACATTATGTATTTAAATAAAAAAGTATCTTAGATGTTACTGTCAGTTAGGTGAATTTGTTATGCATCTATTTCCAATTATTTGGCAAATGAATATAATTTTATTAAATCTATACAAACATGTTTCCAGCCCGGATGTGGTATCTGGCTCCGCCCCCCTGTGCGGACAGCTGGACATCAGGAAGAGTCTGGGTGTGGACATGAACGACTCAATGTTGTCCTGGACAAGTTCAATGGCAACACCAACTTTGATGGACTCAACATACAAAGGTTTTTATAACACAAATAAACCAGGTTCAAGTTCACAAATTCTGCCTTTTATACATAGGAAATCTTTGTAATGTCGCTTCTAGGCTGAATGTTAAAGTACAGTCAGTCAACCTTATAAGATGCACTTCAGCTGTATATGTAGTCAAACATGTGCATGTGACCACCTATATTAAAAGACCACTTTTAATGTTTTCTATTTCAGTGATTTCATTGTAATCCTATATTAAGAGACCGCCTGTGTTAGAGATCTCCTTTTGGACTTCTCGAGGATGGTCTCTTCAACAGCTTTGACTGTGCCTGTAGAAGTGTTACAACAGAATGTTGTGTCTTATTTGTCTTATTTATTTCACACAATCCTTTTATCAACTCAATGGTTATTCTTTTATTTCTGTCATAAACAATAAATAGTTCTTTCAAAATATAAGTTTGTTACAAATGACTATGACTATATTGATTTATTCTTACACAGGTTCTCCGTCTCCCATGACAAAACAACAAAAGGTAAATTCCAAAATTATTATTATAGTTGTTATTTTCATTGCTGATGATATGGTATTTGACAGCAAGATTTAACTCAACTGGCTTAAAAGGCCCAATGATCTTGCACTTTGCAATTTTTGACTGTCTTGTCTGTCATAAACTTTTCCTTTAAAATAAAAAATGTATTACAAGTAACAACTAACCAGTTCAAATCAACAATGAATGAAGGCTGTGGTCCGTCTGGGTTGGAAGGGTGGGGCCTAATTTGAAAGTGTGGGTAAATATCAAAAAGAGAACTGCTTATGTTTGGGCGAAGGGATTTAAACATGATAAATCATAAAGCATCCTTAGGCTAAGACAAATCCATTTTTTTTAAATATTATTGTAATTATTTGGACCTTAGATATATAATAAAAAAATCATGATGACCCCCATAGTATCAAATTGTCAGAAAAAAATATTCCTATGCTGCTTTATTTCAGATAACAAATATAAATAGAGTGATTTATGGGCCATGAGCATCTTGTTAACTCATGCTGCTTAATATTAATGGCTGTCATTGATATGGGTTTAGTAATTATGACTTGCAAATAGTATAATAAACTGTGTCTCGGGCAGATTTATTATCATTTGTTTAAAAGATTTGTTACAACTACCGGGGTAGTTATTTACACATTTGCTAAAGGTTGAAAAGTGTGGGGGTAGTCTGCATTATGAAATGCGAAATATATTGTTTGGTTAGATGGCTTTGGCATCACCAGGTTACATTGTTAAACAGAACACCTTTTTTCCTGAGATAGTGAAACTCATTATCTAAGAACTGTTAAATTGTCTTGAAGAAAATGTTTAATAAGTTATATATAGTTTGAGTTTGTTATTTTCCCTGCAGGGTTTACCGCGAGTCCTATTTTCCCCTGGACCCTCACAGACAGACGAGGAGCTACATGCTTTGGACAATACATCGGAGGACAACACTGACGATGATGATGAACCACCTTCAATTCCTTCCAACATAAGGACTACTAACCAAACAGTTGGATCGTTAATCTCTCCAGACATAACAGTATTTCAAAACATTAACCAACATGAAGTGTTCAACAGAGAGTCTGAATTGTCTGAACTTTTCCCAAAGACAAATTCTGAGTTGTCGACAACTTTTCAGAAAAATACTTACAAAGGGAGTATCGTTGTTGATGCCAGTGTTGGTGAGGAATCCAGCATTCCTTTGTTTTCACAAGATTTATATATGGATGATGAAATTGAAGGAGACCAGGAGCAAATTTCTTCAACAGAAATCAAGAGCAGTAATCAATATACTTTACAGGGGAATAACATATCAACAAACACAGGAGATGGCTGTGAAAAAGGTGTGTCTGATGCTTTGTCTGACTTTTTTGACCCACCTTCAAGTGCAGTGGGCAGAAGGAGATGTGCTCCGAGGAAAAGCAGGAAAAGGAAACTCCTGGATGACAGTTTGAATTTAGACGTAGGCAGTGAAAATGAAACGAACACTTCTCCTGTAAAAGGAAGTAAAAAGCTAAAAACTGATTTGTTATGTAATGAAGATAGGAAAAATGAACAAAACAAGTCTGATGTGCAAAAGATAAAGTTTGAAGAAAAGCAAGAAAACAAAATTCCTTTTAAAAGTGAAGATGCAGAAGAAAAAACTGATTCACCATCTTCAGATATCCAGCACAGTAAATGCTCTGTTTCACTAAGTGAGGGGGACGTCGTATGTTTGGAGAACTGCTTTACTCCGAACAATGCTCAAAAGGTGCTCAAGTCAATTCTGTCCGGTAAGAAAACAACAAATGAAGGGTCTGCTGTAAGGAGTAACAAGAAGGTGAGGTTTTGCCTGGAGGAAAAATCATCTTTAAAGCGAAATCTTACGCAACTAGGTGATGAAGATTATGTGTCACCAGAGGTGTTTGATCAAAGTTTGTCTGAGGATGATGCACAATCTGGAACAGACTCGGGAAGTGATCGTCGTACAAATACTCTTGCCATTTCAAAGGAAGATTCATCCAAAAATGACAAATCTGAAAATTTACTTCTGCACAAATCTCTGAGCAAAGATTCAGACATAGAGATGTGTGATGATCTTTTCTCCCAAGTTTCTCCAACGGCTTTGAATGAAATGTGTTCTGTAGCCACTTCAGTAGACAAAATCAGTTCAACGCAGCAATCAAACTTAGAGACAGGGTCAAGCAAAACAAGATCAGATGAGATAGGAATGGACAAAACAAAACAAAACCATGAATTGAAAACTGAAGATAAACCTGTTTCAGTGAAAACTGAAGATAAACCTGTTTCAGTGAAAACTGAAGACAAGCAAAATGTGACTTTACCTGTATTGAAAACTGATGATGGATACAAAGTTACGCTTCCTGTGCCAAAGGAAAAGGACCCTATAAATGTTCCATCAAATCCCTGTCCTTCCAATCCTTTGAAAAGTTCCATCAGTCTAAAATCAAAACCAAAGAAGTTTTTATACCCCTCAACAAATCAGATCAGTAAGTCCTGTCCTACATCTGTTTATGGATTTGCTGAACAGACAGAGAAAAACCTGAGATTGACAATGAATACAAAAGACTCAAATAGCAAAGATACACCACAAGACAGTGTGTTAGTCCAGCAACCTTCCACCAAATCAGATTCTGGAGAAAAACATGTTGGTAAAAATCAACAGGAACAACCAACCGTCCACAGAGGAATGAAGAGAAACATAGGTAAGTCTCTGAACTATCCGAAATGTACTCAAAATTTCTATATGTATGTATATATATTCTTAGTTTAAAAAAATAGATTGGAATCAAATCTTAAGATAATAATAACAAAAAAGTCATTGTTTTGGATATTCTTTTTGCAACAGTAAATGATGTTTGGTATAATTATAAATAATCTTACATTCCATTATTTCTACAGGATTTGAAAGTTTCTCATCTCTTGCAAACAACGGAAAGCTGGACTCTAAGACTGATAGATCTGATGTTCTCCCTGATGGAAATGAATCACAACCAAAGACACTTCACACAAACTTGGTCCAAATTGGGAACATGACTTTAAAACCCGAGAGAGAGCAACCAGAACGTGAGGGTTTTGGACTTCACACTAAGTGTGAAGCTGATGTTCAGTCTTCAAAATGGAATACACCATTGACCCATGAACAGCAGTCTGGTTCTGAAGGTCTTATCAAACATTTCCCATTGCAGACAGAAACATGTAATGCAGATGTCGGCAGCTCAGAACATTTTAAGTGTCAACAGAATTACAAACTTAAAGACATCAAAATCAAAACAGATGTTCCTGAGGATGGAAACCCGATCACCTGTGAAACTGACAAAGACATACTTCAGTTATATTCAGACCAGGTTATCCCTGATAAAAGTGGAGAACACATGGAAAGTGAAAGTACATCACCAAAAATGAAACCTGCGTCAGCTGATGTGAAGACGTTTCAACCAGGAACACAGAATGCAGAAAATCAAATAGAAAGTGTGAGAAATATAAGCAGTTCTGTGCATTGTGATGGAGATGAAGTGGAACATGTTCCAGGACCTATAAATAGTATCGCTCAAGAATGTACTGGATTTACTTTAGCAAGTGGAAAGTCCTTGACGTTTAGTGAAGAGGGTTTGCACAAGGCCAAACAGTTGTTTGTCAGTGTAGATTCGGATACAGGTATTGGAGATAACAGTAGTTTATGCTTCACTGATAAGAACAGTTTGAAGAAGGACCAACATGAAATGAAGCTACCTAGACGGACATGTACTCTCTCCCAAGTAACCTTGAGCGATCCAGACAAGACTACATCAGTCAACTCAACACCTGAGTCCAACATTACCGATTTAAATCTACCAGCGGCAACAGAATCGGTACCAGGTGTTACTGTTGATTTTGAGGACATGCTGGAGGGTGTTTTGAAATCTAGAAGTTCACCAGAGGTCTCCAGACTTACTCCCCTGAAAAATACAGGTTCAAGGGGAGGATTCCATTTAGGCCAAGACAAAAACATCTGTTCAAAAAATTCTCATTTTGAAACAGCAGTATCTGTGATGAAGAATTCTGCAAAAGATTCTAATTTAAATGCCAAGGATATCTCTAGAGGTCCAGTTCCTTTTGGAACAGAGTGTAAACCAGAAGACTCTGAAAACACAGAAGGCAGATTTAATAGCGATCATAATGTTGCAATGCTTAAAGGGTTCACAACTGCTGGTGGGAAACATTTACAACTCAGCAAAGCAAGTTTGAAGAAGGCGTCAGCATTACTTGAAGATACAGACACAAACTATTCACCTACCAGTAGCTCATTCCCGGCTGGAGAGATCTCAAGGAAAGCATTGACATCACAATTTGATAAGGAAGACCAATTACTGGCACATGTGAGTGAAATTGCTAATGACACATCATTGAACAATTCTCAAAAGTTTGATTGTAGAACTGTTCAGCACAATACGTCAGATTGTAAAGCAAAAATAACTGTAGTGAAAAGTCACGACTCAGATTTGGAGGCGAGAGAAACAACATCTTCTGGAAATACAGTAGTGACAACAGGCACACACCCAGGATTCAGTTCTGTGGGAGGAAAGAGGCTTGAAATGAGGAGCAATGGCCATTTTAAAAGTGGTGTGACTGATCAGATATCTGATGGAACAATAGCAGAATCTCTCTCAACAATGGAATCTGGTTCTGATGTAGAAATAGCACAGGTAAAAGGGCCAGGAAAGTCATCTACATTTAGTGTAGTTACAGGAAAGCCTGTTCAAATGAATAATTCTGCCAGTCGGACACAACAGTGTTTCAATGATTCAAGTCTTGAAAAGCATATGTCGTTATTAAGTGAGACGGATAAGGAAATCACTGCTGTGTCGAATGAAGTGGTGAATGAAGGACCGGTATTGAGCAGTAGAGACAGGGAGAAGCACAAATCCACGGATTCTGATTTGAAGAAGAGACTTCGCAAAGAGGATACTTGCAAAGGAAAAAACGATGATTTAGATAAAAACAGTTTCAATAGGACGGATGGAGTGTCTGGCTTCAGTACAGCTGCCTCAAAGAAGCGGAAACTTAGTGAGTTAAGTTTGAAAGAAGGGGTGTTGCTGATGGACATTGTCAGTAAGGATGAAACTGATTCACGAAGGGATACCACAGATGGAGACTACAGCAATACTGATAGGTCAGTGGGAATCAACACTGCTGGAGGGTTTGGAGGATTCAGTACTGCCAGAGGAAAGAAGCTCCAAGTAAGCAATTCAAGTTTGAAAAAAGCATTTTCACTAGTTGCAGATGTTGAGGTAGATGCAACAGATGTTTCAAAGAAAGCTGATGATGGGGACTTAAGTAATATTTGTGGATCTGAATTCAGTGCTGTTACATCAGCTGAGAGCAAATCAGAAGTATTCAGCAATAATGATGATTTTGGAGGATTCAGTACTGCAGGTGGAAAGAAGCTCAAACTAAGTGATGCAAGTTTGAAAAAAGGAATGTCACTAGTTGCAGATTTTGACGAAGATACAGCAGATATTTCAAACAAGAGAAGGGTTGGAACTGGTGAACTGGACTTACCCATAGATGGCAGATTAAAAGGAAAAGAATTGACACAATTCAGCACAGCTGGTGGGTTAGGAGGGTTCAGTACTGCTGGTGGGTTAGGGGGGTTCAGCACTGCTGGTGGAAAGAAACTCAAACTAAGTGATGCAAGTTTGAAGAAAGCAATGTCACTAGTTGCAGATTTTGATGAAGATACAGCAGATATTTCAAACAAGAGAAGGGTTGGAACTGGTGAACTGGACTTACCCATAGATGGCAGATTAAAAGGAAAAGAATTGACACAATTCAGCACAGCTGGTGGGTTAGGAGGGTTCAGTACTGCTGGTGGGTTAGGGGGGTTCAGCACTGCTGGTGGAAAGAAGCTCAAACTAAGTGATGCAAGTTTGAAAAAAGCAATGTCACTTGTTGCAGGTGTTGATGAAGGTATGGCAGATATTTCAAACAAGAAAAGTGTTGGAACTAGTGAATTGGAATCAACTACTGATGGTGGATCAGAAAGAGAAGAACCAATGGGTTTCAGCACAGCTGGTGGGTTAGGAGGGTTCAGCACAGCTAGTGGAAAGAAACTGCAACTTAGTGAAACCAGTATAAGAAAGGCGATGTCTGTCATATCAGATGTAGATGGTGAAGACGATAGATCGTCCCATGATAGGTTGGGAAAATCTTACAGTGCTTCAGATGGATTTCAAACTGCTGGGAGCAAACAACTGAAGCTCAGTACTAGTATCGAGAAAGGTATGTCTGTGATCAATAAGATTTATGCAGAAGAAACGAAAGACTCTGTCTCATCTGACATCAAGTCAGCAGAATGTCAGGAGGGGAGAGGAAAACCTGTTTGTATAAACCTTGATGAGAAAGATTGTTCTTCAGAAATAATAGACATCTTGAATTTGTCAAGTAGATCTGGATCAAGTCTAACCAAAGACAAAGGTTTGCAACCAAGCAACACTAGGAAAAGTTCCTCACGATTCCCTCCTGGAGCTAACATCCCTAAGGGGTTCCGACCGTTTAAACCTCCAAAAATATCCAAGAAGCCACAAATAGAGAAGACTAACAGCAAGGAGTGTGTGAAAGTGTCAAACAAAGTTGTGGAGACAACACAAAATCCTGTCAATTCCACAGTTGATGAAAACCCATCAGTTTTATTGCAAGGTACTTGCACTGGTGACATACAACAGGTAGCTAAGAAAGACCAAGTAAAACTTCAGACAACTAACTCAGGTGTTGATGAAGGCAGCAGCAGAGACAAAGTTAAACCTCAAAGAGCCAGTATGGCTACTGATGAACTAGAAAATGGTAGAGATATTACACCTGTACTTAAGGAAGACAAAGTTGATCAGGACATTGAACCGTCAATCATGGACGAGCTTTTCTCAGAGGAGCTTGAATCATCTCAACATTTTAGTCCAGGATCTGGTAAAGTATTGAGGTCACAGAGATGTAGAACAACACCTAGAGACGGGGACCAGGCACCAGATATACTGCCCTCTGAGGAGTATGAACAGTTCCTAGATATAGAGGATATTGCATTGTGTAAGGTGACAGAAATTAAGTGTGAACAGCCTTTACATAACGGAAGTGTGAAAACCCAGACCTTGGAAACTACCAATGAAAAAGATCCCGCACAATCTGCGGACATTAAAAAGAAATCTCTGACACCATTGCAGCATAATGGGTCTGTGTCAATGAAAAACCATCAACCTACACAACAGACTGGTATCTCAGGCTTTCAAAGTGCATCAGGAAAAAAAATGTGTGTTTCTGAAGAAGCTCTTAAAATAGCAAAACAAAATTTGGATGATTTGCCTGCAGATTCGCCAAAGGAACATTTAGAACAACCAACAGAGGACAATCTAGGAAAAGAAACAGAAAACTCAGGGTTTAAAAGTGCTTCTTGGAATAAAATCTCTGTTTCTGGAGTTGCTTCATCAAAAGCAAAACAAGGAATGATTAATGACTGCAGAGTATCAAATAATAGTGCAGCAAACATTAAAGATGAACCTGTGGAGAAATCGATGGATTCTGAAGGACCGAAAAGTGCACCAGAGAATGAATCTTGCATGACTAAACCTTCGGAATCAGCACAACAACATATGAAATTCTCATCATCAACTTTTTTTGATGATAATCTTTGCATGAAAGCATCAAGGATTGTAAACAAATCGTCAGATCAACACCTTTTAGAGTTTGGAGGATTTCAAAGTGCTTCAGGCAAAAAAGTACATGTATCAGAGGAAGCATTGATGAAGGCCAAGCAGAGTATCTCTGACTGGTGTTCAGAGGCCAGTGAAGAATCTGTACACAACAAACCAGAAACAATTCAAACACAATGTCCTAGGCAGTTTCCTGAATACGCTGGATTTCAGAGCGCCTCGGGGAAGAAAGTTGGTGTTTCCGATGAAGCCTTAGTGAAGGCTAGACAGAACTTCAAAGATTGGTCCTCAGACGTAAACGTTGACCAATCAGATATAATGGAAAGTTCAACAATGGATGCTGGAGGCATTGATGCAAAGGGAGATAAATCTAGTGCAACGCCAAAGGATGAGGGTTTGTGTGAGGATGTGAGCCCTTCTGGTGATAAAAGTGAAGTGAAAGAAGAAGAATGGACTGTTCCGAACTTAAACAGTTTTAAGGAAATAGCAAGTAAAACAACAAAATCTGCATTGGTTTCAAGAGAAGGAAAAAGAGGCCAAGAACATACTAGTTTACATGTGCAGACTGACCATTTTTCTCTTCAAGAAGTAATGAATTCTCAATATGATTTCTCTCAGGATGACTCTAACAGTGATGCTGAAGGTGTTGTGAAAAGAGATGATGACTCCATTGTGTTGGAAATAGAAAAGGCAAAACTTCCATGTTCTTTAGATACCATTCAAACAGAAACTTCAGGAAAACATACTGTGTCTTCTGATTTGAAATATACTTTTCAAAGGGCTTACGGAAAACAAGTTACTGTGTCGGAGAGTTCTATTGAGCATGCAAGGAAAACCATGGAAGATGTTGTGTGTTCACCATTCCAGAGTGCTTCAGGGAAACAAGTGAAAATTTCTAAAAATGCTCTTAAAAATTCTAAGGAAACCATGGAAGATGTTGTGAGTTCACCATTCCAGAGTGCTTCAGGAAAACAAGTAGACATATCTAAAAATGCTCTTGAAAATGCAAGGAAAACCATGGAAGAAATTGGGAGTTTACCACCCCAGGGCGCTTCAGAACATAAAGAAAATATTTCTAAAACTTCACTTGAACATACTAGACAAACAATGGATGTTGCCAGCTTACCATTCCAAAAGACTTCAGTGGAATGTAGGAATATTTCTGAGATTGCTGCTCAGGCTGTAGAAAAAACCATGGAAGGAGTTAGGGCTTCACCATTCCAAAGTGCTTCAGGGAAACAAGTGAACATATCGAAAAGTGCTCTTGAACATACAAAGCAAACCTTAGAAGATGATGGGAGTTCCACATTTCAAAGCTATTTAGAGGTAAAACTTAACTGTTCTGAGAATGCTCTACAGCATGCAAGGGAAACTACTGAAGAAGTTGGAATTTCTCCTTTCCAAAGTGCTTCAGGGAAAAAAGTAAACATATCAAAAAATGCTCTGGAACAAGCGAGACAAACCTTGGAAGAAATCATGAGTTCACCATTTCAAAGTACTTCTGACAAAACTGTGAACCTTTCTCAGACTGCAGTTAAGCATACAAAGGAGACCATGGAACAGATAGAAAACTCACCTTTTCAAAGTGCTTCAGGTAAAAAAGTGAATATTTCTGAAAGTGCCCTTCAACATGCAAAGAAAACTTTAGAGGATTGTCCATTCCAAAGTGCTTCAGGAAATACACAAGCTGTATCTTCCGAGGCTTTGAAGCAAGCTAGAAAAACATTGTCAGATAGTTTACCTTCTGTAACCAGCAGAGAACCTGAAAATACTTCTGAGGAAAGTTCTCTACATCCTTTGAGAAAATCATCAAATTCTGCACAAAGTTCCCCTTTTCAAACTGCTACAGGTGGTAAAATGACGATTTCTGAAAGTTCACTACAGCATGTTAGAAAAACCAAGGGGGATCTAGAATGTTCTTATAGGGATTCTGATGAAGTTTGGGATTCTTCCTTGAGCTGTGATATTTATCCTTCTTCTGTACAGCAAACTGAAGGTACAAAATTGGACAAAGTGCCTAGGATGAAATATCAGATTATAAAAGAAGTTAATAATGTACAAGAAAAACAGTTTTCCTCCAGTCCTTGTGAAGAAAACTTTATTACGCCATCAAAACAGAAACAATCTTTACCAAAGTGCTCTAAAAATGATGGGGGACCCATTTCCACCAAACTTCATCAACAAAATACAGTTGTTTCCCCATGTGTATCAAGTAGGACGGACCGACAGATGTTCATAGAGGGGATGGACCACAGCATAGACGAGTTCTGTCAGCCAGATGACTTCCTTGAGGAAATGGAAGTCACACCCAAACGTAGGCAGGTAGAAGGTAAGTTACAAGGTACTGGATTACCAGAATGTTAAAGGCACATGTCATGGCTGTAGGTAGTCCGAATTATTCTGACGTTTTATCAACTTTTTTCATATCGGTCTGTCGTCGATTAACGTCAGAACTCCGGCCCTCTATAATATGCGGGAAATATGCGACCCACGCCCGGAGCGCACTTCAAACTGATATTTTAGAAACAAATCGTCACTTTCACACACATCTCGCACATGGATCGAAAGATCTATTCTTTATGCACTAGGTGGTATCAATAACATGGTTCAAAGATCATTACGAAAAGTATTTTCCGACGTTTTCTATACCAACCCGTGTTTTTAATGGAAATTAGGCCATGAGCAATGTCGCATGACTTGAAGAGATCTCGCGTTACCGAAGGTACTTCCCAACGCTATGACGTAGCCCAGCGAGATTTTAGTCACGTAGCATTAGAAGGCGGGGCTATCAAAAAACTAGAGTAAAACAGAGTAAGTTTGAAAAAAAATGTTTTTAGTGATTGTATTGGTTGTTTGAGGCATATTATGTATGTTCATCTTGTGCATAAAGAATAGATCTTTCGATCCATGTGCGACATGTGTGTGAAAGTGACGATTTGTTTCTAAAATATCAGTTTGAAGTGCGCTCCGGGCGCGGGTCGCATATTTCCCGCATACTATAGAGGGCCGGAGTTCTGACGTTAATCGACGACGGACCGATATGAAAAAAGTCGATAAAACGTCAGAATAATTCGGACTAGGCTGTAAGCTGGCCCAACTGATTTTAGGGAAGGTGGAGGGGGGTGAAACTGGGGTCTCGAGGATGAAGCCCTGGATGTAGCCTCAAAAGCTGTAGAAATTTAAGCATGACAGTACCAGAAAAGGTCAATCAGTTGTCAAGAAGATATCTAAAAAGCCTGCTCCCCTTGTTCCCCCACAGGCTACATGTTTATGTTAAGAGACGGTACAATTATGACATGGTGTTCATATCTTAAACCTTTGGATCAACAAATGCTAGTGTATATGATACATTGTGATTATTAATTGATTAAATGACATTGAAGCTTTAGTTCAAAATTGTGAAGTGAATTTGGACAACACTGAGTACTAACCTAAGTATTGTATCTCAACCAAACAATATCCAGGTATGTCCTCGATTTTAACAGAAAATAATTTAGAATGTTATTTCTGTTTGAAGTTAGAAATGGTTCTACAAATTTTTGACTGGTATTCAGATTCTAAAATGTAGCCTGTACCTGTGCCTCCTAAAGGATCAATATTATTAAGGTTTCCTTCACACACAAGTATCACAGGTGAATAAAATTGGAACATGTATTAGAACATTTTGTGTCCTTTTCTCAATAAATCATCATAAAGGTGTTTTGTGTGTAGCACTCCAGGACCTATGTTTCTTCCTACCCTGTGAATCGCAGCTATACCCTGTCATATTGTCGCAAATCTTTCATATTGCTCTGATCTGAAAATTTCGGATACATTTGCCTTTACAATACATGGTATACTGTATCCAAAATAAGGTGCTAAAAAAAATCATTATGAGAAAATTCAAATTCAGTTAAATACATTTGTGAAATATGAATTAAATTTCTTAATTTAAAATTTCAGAAAAAGCAGTCAGCACCAGATCAGGCATGGTGAAACCAATGAAAAGTGTACCAGAGGGTAAGATATGTGGTACAGTCTAACTTCCATAAATCAAACTAAGAAGATTTGAATTTCTCAATGTGTCGAGCTCATAGCAAAGTCTGGATCTTTTCCCTTTTATAACACTACTAATTAACATTCTATTCCTGAGTCAAACTTTTATAAGTGATTTTTTCGCTGTTTCGAAATATAATCATGGTCTGTTCGTGATCAAAACATTGAAAATTACAACTTATAGATAGAACTAAAAAAATGATCTGTACATTACATTGAGACGTTAACATAGGCATACAAAATGTATGTCAAAGAAAATTGTATGTACGACTCTGGTTTATGTTGTTTGAAACATACTTTCGATTGCCGTTGTCAAAATCACTACAATAAGACATGGTGTTTGATGTTCAACATTCGTCGGTCGAAGTCTCAATGATTCAAATATTTTGAAGATGTCCCATGAAGTTTGAAACATCAAAGTTACACTGTACATTGTATATACACCAATATTTCAGTGAACAAAGGATAGAACTTAATCAATATACATCACATTCGAAAGATTGCATTATTAGGTAAGATCAATATTTGAAATTTTCTAGGGAGATAACACAATGAAAAGATGTCGAGTGCAAATAAAAGTTTAATTGTATACATCTGTGTTTGTGTGATTTTATCTAGACATGTCTCAATTCTTTTGCAGCTTTCACTAAAGACCGACAAGGTACAAGCTGTTCCCTGCGTGCTTGCTACAGTAAATCCAATCCGACCCAGGAGTCTGTTCCCAGGTCAGGGTCATAACATACTTTACATATTACAAGGAACCTCATTTAATAGAGTGGAGAATCTTATTTTCACAACGTTGGTTCCTATAAGTCTATATAACAGTCAGATCTGCTTCCCTGTGTCAGTATTTACATCATAATCAGTATTGTAGATCAGGTGACCAGTTTTATTTCAATGTTTATGATATATTACCTGATGTGTTAACATCCATTGTGACTTCAGAATATGACCAATAGATACCATGACATTGTGAAGTGGCATTATAGATACATGTATTCCATATATAAAAATTACAATGGCAACATTGAAAATTTGATGACGGTCAGAGAAGACATTTTTTTCTCTTTGCAAATACTCATTCTTTGAAATATTGTACAAAAGATCTTAAATTTGAATCTGTATATGAGATTTATAAAACACAGTGTTTTGAAATTTTATTTTTAATCTTAGCAGAGCTCGCTTAAACGGAAACTTCTCTAATTATTCTTATCTCGCCTGAAATGGAAATTAGTTTGAAGATCTTTTATTAAATAGTTTGTATTTACAGGTTATCTGTCCTGCTTCAATCATCAACAAATGGGAGCAAATCTCAGCCCCCTGTCAAGTCATCCTTCCTGACACCTTACAAAAAGTCTGACACCAGTATGTCAGGAACTGGCACAAATCCTGAAACATGTAATACAGTAAATCAAGCTTCGAGGAAACCCATGCCAAGATTTATACCTAAATGTCTGTCTGTACACCAACCTGATCTAGTGAAATCCAAAACCACTGCTAGTCCTACATTAAATAAGGAGGGTGCAAGTGAGAATCAGCAGAAATCCAAAGGCAATGAGAAAGCAGATATTGTTGATATTGCAAAATTAGTGGAAGAAGCAAGAACACATCAAGCAGAATTATTGAAGGTCAAAGAGAAAACCAAGGTCAGTCCAGATCCTGGGCGACTTTATACAGTGAAAGCAGGCAACAGGAGAGTGAGGATGAGGGATGTGATCAAACTACAGACAAGATGTGAAGGCAAACCACAGGTTAGTGTTTACCAGGTAAACCTCAGGTGAGTCTCTACCAGGTAAACCTCAGGTGAGTATTTATCAGACAAATCTTGTGAGTGTCAACCAAGTAAACCTCAGGTGAGCCTTTTTTACCAGGTAAACCTCAGGTGAGCCTGAACCAGGTAAACCTCGGGTGAGTCTGAACCAGGTTAAACTCGGGTAAGTCTGAACCAGGTAAACCTCAGGTGAGTCTCTACTAGGTAAACCTCAAGTGAGTCTCTACCAGTCAAATCTCAGGTAAGTATCTACCAGACAAATCTCAGGTGAGTCTCTACCAGGCAATCTCGGGTGAGTCTCTACCAGGCAAATCTTAAGTGAGTACTAATGTTGTCTTCAGGTAAAATTCCATTGTCACACAGAGATAAATTACACATAATGTAGTTGTTCATTCTGGTATATTTTCACCAGCACAACCTAAGACCCCGGTTTGGAGATGTTCGGGCTGCCACAGCTGTACAACACAAGTTTTACCTGCCAGACTTCTACACAAACTTGCGAGGACATGTGTATGTTGGTGATGGGGCCTACCTCGTCCCTGATAATGAACTCTATGCTGGCAAGGAGGAACTCTTCAGGTATTGGAGTATAAGCTGGCCTTAGTGGAACCATGTTAGTCAAAATCTTTTGGTACCATTATACAGATAAAATAACTCATTTTCTCACATGTTAAAACATTTATGGAATGAAAGAACACTGTTATGGAATGAAAGAACACTATCTCATACATTTCATACCTCACTTTATGAAGTTGGTGGGATATATAGAAACAATACATGTCTGTCCATGGAGTTGCTAAAGGAAGATTGTACTTTGTCCTTATCTGGGAGGCTGAAAGTGCTATATGAATTATACTAGCATCAATTATTTAGGGTTGCTTTACTGAATGCATGATATGGATGATTAATTTGACTAATTTTATGTTTCAGTGACTTGGTTAAAGTGAAAAAGTCACATTGATATACATAATATCAATCCGTATCTGGGTAGTTATAAATCATGCTTGCATTAATAAGATTATTTGTAAAGCAATTTTTTTTTTAACTTAATTGGTAGATGACTTCCTAAAAATTAGCCTAGAGTAAGTGGAATATCTCTGCCCAGATTTACTTAATTGTAGAAATGGTACATCTACTGCATGAAAACACTGCAGACTTCAATTTTGTACACTTTTTGACAGGGCATTCAGCACACTTCCTGGAGTGGACTGTAAGCTGATCTCTGACGTCTGGTTCTACAACCACTATAGATGGCTGGTGTGGAAACTGGCTGCCTATGAAGTTACCTCCCCTCTTAATTTTGCTGGAAGGTAAAAAAAAAATTATGTGGAAAGGTGTTATAGTCAGGGTAACATTGTGGGTGAAATGAGACATTAAGTTAGATATCCTTGTAATTGTATAGTTAATAGTTGAATAGGGTCTTTAGGTTTGCGCTCAGTCTGTCGGCTCTCAGGTGTGTCGCACATTATTGTACATATTGTGTCCCCCCATCATCACCACTTTATAGAATTATTGCCCATGCTTACCATGCTGGGGCATATGTATGTTTAACAAACCTTTTAACAAATGATAGCAAATACACTAACTCTTTAACTGACAAAAACAAAATGTAATTGCTCTTGCTTAAATATCAGTTTATGTGCATTAAGATGTTAACATATGTGACTATTTTGAAATATGCAGGTATGCAGGTATGAGTAGATATAAAACTATCGATGTTTCAGAGCTCTCACACCTGAAGTCATCATGCTGCAAATGAAGTACAGATATGATCGGGAAATTGACAATTGTCAAAGGTTGGTGATGTCTGATTGTTTTATTGAGGATTTTGATGTGCAAATCTAGCTTGTGTGTTGTGATATGTCTATTGGCAATATGTATCAATCAGTTTACAAATATACCTGTTCTTGTAGGAGGAATGACCAAATATTTTGTCACCTTTTCTAATCAACTCATTTGTGATGTGTACAGAGATGACAGATATGAGGATAAAGGGAAAAACAAGTGTTACAATTAATACAATCTTCCCCTACCTGAGGGTGTGACACTGTTTCACTCACAAATCTGCCGATAAGTGGTGATTGCATGAAATATAAGCGTTGATTGCATGTTTTTTCCAGCAAATCCAGTCTTGTCTTCCTTGGTCTGCTACTACTGATGTGACGTCAATGCATTGATGACGTGGCGTCATACTATTATTTTGACTTAGATCTCGCCATTCTGCAGGAGGCTATCTCCTCCTAGGGGAGAAAATTGTATTTATAACATGTTATCCAACTACTAATACTACCACAGCTACTCATACTGATTTTTTAGAAACCTTATCAGAATATAAAAAAGGAGCGTACATTGATATAAATTGAGATGATATCTCTGATGTTGTTGCTGTAGGTCGGCTCTGAAGAAGATAATGGAGCGAGATGATACAGCCAGTAAGAGGATGGTGCTATGTGTGTCTGGGATTAATCAACAGACACAGCCAAGTCAAACTGATGTCGCATCTAAACTGGTGGGCAGAGGCGACACAAGCAAACAGGCCTCGTCTGCTGACAAGTTGGAGCCACAGGTACACCCAGATAACGGGATATAGAGAAAATGTGTTCCTCATGAAACTTTGGTTTTAGTATAAAAGTAATGAGTTTGGATAAATATTTTCCAAGTCAATGTTATATCATTTGTATGTGTAGTCTCTTAATATCAGTGTTCCTAAGTTTTCCTGATAATAAGTGTTCAAATTAACCAGATGTTGCTCTGCTTTTGTCTGTAATCCCATTAGATGTATTTCACTCTTTTCACTAAGTTGTATCATTCACACTAAGGCACGTTTGATTAAGTCCAGACTGCTAAGCTATTTTCTCACATTCGTTTTTGTCTCTCTTTCTTCTTTAATAAATTGCCATATTTCAAATGCAGCTATTTGGAAATGTTAAACTATATTTTTTATCAGAACGTTTTGTTAGATTTACCTGTATGTCATTTTCAATGATGAAAACAGAGCCGCGTTGTGTCAAAGTGTATATATTTAAGTATTTTAGGTGATATTTTCAATTCGGAAAAAAGTATGGCCATCATTAATAGACGTGTTCATGTAAAGGACATGTGTTACTTTGCATTAATTCCCTTCTCTTGTTCTTAATGCTGGTATATACAGACTTGTGTGGAGCTGACCGATGGCTGGTACAGTATAACGGCCAGATTAGATGTTCCTCTGACTGACCTGGTCAATAAACACAGGATAGGTGTGGGACACAAGCTCTGTGTCAGCGGGGCAGACCTTGTAGGCTCCCAGGATGCCTGCACACCGCTAGAGGTTTGTATTAAAAAAACATATTCTCAAATGTTTGTAGGATATTTAATGTGTAACAGAGGATCCGTTGAGGTTTAGACTTATAGAATCTCTCACCCCCTTGGGTATGATACTCAATGGGTGAACAGGGTACCGGTAAGAGATAAAGAATCATTCACCTCCTTTGGGGAATCTCAACCCGAGGGAGAAGATTCTTAAGTTGCCAAACACGAGGCTTTGCCGAGTGATTGGCAACTTAAGAATCTTTCCCGGAGGGTTGAGATTCCCTATCTCACCCTCAAGGGGGTGAATGATTCTTTATCTCTTACCCTGTCCATCCATTGTGTATCATATATATAATGTAATGTTAACGTTACAGGCTAAATTCAGGGTTGACATGACATACCATTGTTATCAATAAGGGAATCCCCCCGTCTCACCCTAGCCCGTCTCAACCCTAGGGTGAGACAAGGATATCTCACACCGGTGAAAGTGTGGATACACTTGTCCAGGGTAAGAGAATAATAGAATCTCACCCCCTTGGCGGTGAGATAGGGGAATCTTAACCCGAGGGGGAAGATTATTAAGTTGCCAAACACAAGGCTCTGCCGAGTGTTTGGCAACTTAAGAATCTTTCCCAGAGAGTTGAGATTACTCTTTCTTACCAACAAGGGGGTGATTGATTCTTTTTCTCTTACCCTGTTCTCCCATTATGTATCATATACACAATGTAATGATATTGTTACCTGCAAATTACGGGTTGACATGAAGTTGATGGATTGTTGATATGACGTCATTGTATTGTTGATGTAACGTCATACCATTGTTATGAATAGGGGAATCCCCCTGTTTCAACCCTAGGGTGAGACAAGGAAATCTCACACCGGTAAAAGTGTGGATAAACCTGTCCAGGGTAAGAGAATAATAGAATCTCTCACCCCCTTGGCGGTGAGATAGGGGAATCTCAAACTGAGGGGGAAGATTATTAAGTTGCCACACCATTTCAAGTCTGATCGGGGAATCGAACCCCGGCCGCTTGGTGTGTTCCCCTTTGAGATCAGATCCCCTATTACACTAATGAAATGCACTTTTATTAAAAAAAGTTGTAACTATTCATACTAACCAAAATTGTATTGTTCATATTTGAAATAAAATTTCTTTTGTTTGTAAAATTATTATTTAAAAAAAAAGTAATTAATAAAAAAAACTTTGTGTCCATGTTAATGTTTAGGCACCTGCTTCCCTGATGTTGAAGCTGAATGCAAACTCAACTCGCCCTGCTCCTTGGGATGCTCGGCTTGGGTACCAGAGAGATCCTCGACCACTGTGTATTTCCCTGTCTGGTCTGTATGGAGAGGGAGGGGCTGTCGGCTGTTTAGATGTCGTGCTCGCCAGGAAATATCCACAGATGGTAAATATTTGCCAAACTTCGATCGCATAAACCTTCTGTCTAATTTTGTTCAGCTGGCCTGGTGTCAATTATCATTCGTCTTTGAAATTCAGCTGTATTTCATCTTTTCACTTTGACTTTTCACCTTCTTAAAAATTGATAGAAAAACTTTGGTAAATTTGGGAAACCTGACAAGAAACACAAAGAATTTATTCAAATTGTGGCTCATCAGTTTACCACATTGAAATTTACGGATGGGACTTTGTCTTATAAAGATATGAAAAGAGATTATTCAGTACACTTAATCTTGATTATACATAATGTGATGGGCACTCATAATGCAATATTAAAATCATTATGGCATAAGTAATATAAATGCCTTAGGATAGCAATTAATTCAATAACTATAATTGCTTATATTTTTTCCAGTAAAGTGAAATGAAGCTTTTAGATTACAATAGGTTTTTAAACTGCAAATACTGAATATATTATTTTGTAACTTCCATGTAAATGTCGCCAGTACATGCTGAACTCTTTGTAAATGTTGCTAGTACATGCTGAATTCTTTGTAAATGTTGCTAGTACATGCTGAATTCCTTGTAAATGTTGCCAGTACATGCTGAATTCCTTGTAAATGTTGCCAGTACATGCTGAATTCCTTGTAAATGTTGCCAGTACATGCTGAATTCCTTGTAAATGTTGCCAGTACATGCTGAATTCCTTGTAAATGTTGCCAGTACATGGTGAATTCCTTGTAAATGTTGCTAGTACATGCTGAATTCCTTGTAAATGTCGCCAGTACATGCTGAATTCCTTGTAAATGTTGCCAGTACATGCTGAATTCCTTGTAAATGTTGCTAGTACATGCTGAATTCTTTGTAAATGTTGCTAGTACATGGAAAAGTTAAGCGAAGGTGGCTGTGTGTTCAGAACTGGCCAGGCTGAGGACAGGTTCCAGCACCAACACCAAAGGCACCGCCAGGAGGAGATGGAGAAACTCTACGCTAAACTACAGACCGAGTTTGAACTGGAAGATGCTGAGGGTCAGTTGAAGTATTAGAACCTTTTTTATCACACTCATATAAAAAAAATTAGGGATGAACTTTGGCAAGAATGTCCAGGCTTTGCAAAAGGCTATTTGGGTCAGTTTTGATTTACTACAGAAACTGCAAAAACAGGTCAATATCAGTTATATTGAAATGTATTTCAGTGTCGTTTCATAAAGAGTTGATAAGAGTATGAAAGGATTTGTAATTTTCAAACTTATGTTTAATATATAAAACAAAGTAATTAGTGACAGATTGATATCTAAATTTTATCTCTAAGTTTAACATTTATTTTACTTCCAATTTTCTTCTTTCCAGAAAAGCGTATTTCTAAAAAGAAATGGACACAAAAGGAAGTTGAGCTTCTGCAGACAGGATATGAGATTTACGAGGCCTACTCCACGTGTCGACAGCCAGATATGATAGAGGTAGAAACACAAGTGTACTAAACCAGAGAATGTAATACATATTACCACGTCCAACTTCTGATACTTTGTTGATTCTGTGGGATGGTACTTTAGTGGTTATGTGAAGAAAAAACCCATACAAAACAAATACACACAGTGTTAAAGTGGTGGTTTTAAGATTGTTGAATCAGTAATATTTCTTGATAGCTTGATAGAGATGTTCGCTGTTGTACTGAATCACAGGTAGCATATTTGCTTTACCACAAAAAATATGAAAAGTAACACTGCAGAGAAAGTAACGCTGTATACAGTCTTCTCTTTGCTATTAAATTGAATTAACAGGACAATTTTGTTTGGCAGAATTATCAAATCAATATTCATTTTTCACATTCCTTTATTTGTGCAGGAGTACCTGAGTGACCGACAGAGAGAACTACTAATGGAGCAACGCAGACAAGTCCAAGATGAAAAACAACAGAAATTACATGCAGAATTTCAGAAAACATGGCAGGTTTGTTAAAGATGCCAAAAACTGTAGTGATATGTACCTAAAACTGTAGTGATCTGTACCTAAAACTGTAGTGATATGTACCTAAAACTGTAGTGATCTGTACCTAAAACTGTAGTGATATGTACCTAATGTGTTTTGCATAAAATGCTTTTCCTTTTGTCCGTCTTGGTTACACTCTGTGTTTGGCCCCATTGATCTCCTTCTAGAAGTCTAACAGTCATCAATCTTCGATGTGAATACATATTGAGGAGTGCTATACCGATACAGCGTACGTCGGTCAGTGTGACCTCTATGTTCTGCTTCACTGACTTTGGTTAGACTTTGAGATCAGCTCCATTTCTTTGGTTAGGCTTTGTGTTTAGCTCTGTTAAAGCATTTGTAAGTTTTACAAACATTTTATATTTTATTCTATTTTCCTTTATTTTTTGAGAAATGTGATGTCTTTATTGTCTAATTTAAGGTTAAGGTGATCCGTACTAATGTACAGGAAAGTTTTACTACAGTATTATTGTAGCAAAAACACAAAATGAAACCAGGTAACAACTTGTAATAGAATGCAATCCTTACACAAATGAAAATTAACAGAAGCTTTTTGGTTATTTTATAGGGTCACAGTTTTTCCATAGACAGCTATGATAATAAGGCGAAAAATATTGTCAATTATTGCTAAAATATAACAGGTAGTTTCTTTTAAATCCTCAAAGGCTGTTTCACAAGATAAAGTTGCAGTCTATATCTTTTCTTGCAGACAACTTCTGAAAGGACTGTCATACCATTGATGAAGATGAAAGTTGTTGGCTGTTCCAGGAAGGACATGGATTCCAAAGCCTGTAAGTTTACAACAGGGATGATGCTCCAATCTGATTGTTAAACATTGGAATAAGTTTTTATGTTAAAAGTGGTTACAATGTATTGGATTTGAATTTGATATCATACATAATTCTGTTTGTGTTCTTTTAAAGCCACAGTAAGAATAGTTATAATGTGGAATATTTTTAGGTCACCTGAGCTTTAGCTCAAGTGACCTATTGCTATCCGTTTTCGTCCGTCGTCGTCCGTCGTCCGTCGTCCGTCGTCCGTCGTCCGTTATCCGTTAACATTTTACATTTCAAACTTAAAGTCAAGTTCTGCTGGGCCGATTGAACTGAAAGTTGGTAGGAATGATCGCCTCATGGTCCTGACAAAGTGTTGTTATTTTTCGGGTCAATCAGAAATACAATTTGGCTGCCATGGCCGCTATTTTGCTACTAAGTTCTAATAGGCCGATCTCACTTAAAATTGGTCTAGGAATGATCAGCTCATGGTCCTGACAAAGTTAAGTTAACATTATACTATTTTTTACTCAAATTGGTACATATTTCAACAACAAAAATAAATACTGTAGACTCAGGTGACCGTTTAGGCCCATGGGCCTCTTGTTCTATTTAGAATTTGAAATCTTTTCCATTTTCTTGAAAAGCCACAACAGTGACAGTGTGGCGACCTTCTCAAGATGTGATGGAGCTGACTGAGGGGACACGCTACAAAATCTTTGGAATGAATGCCAGCTCATCTAAGTAATGTTTATTCTGATTTGGTTGTGATCTTTATAGATTCGTTTGTAAAATTTGATCTTGTGATATACAAATTTTCTTTTAGTTACTAAAAGGATGATAGATAAGCAGAAATTAACACAGCATAAGAACCATGGATTTGTTATGATATTACAAATATTACCACATGATACATCATAAATAGTGTCGCATAACAAGAAATACACTGTATGTTGATATCTTAGTGTATTAGGAATACCTAGAGAGAAATAAGAAATTAAGCCTAAATCTAAACAAACGTGACCCCGAATACCACTAAAGTAATAATGTTGATGACTTAACTAGCACAGAAAACCATGTGTTTCAAAAAGAGGCAAAGCGACAATTACCAATTTATGGCTCCGGTCTATGACTGGAATATTAATCAACTGGTAATATAAGACAATACATGTTACATACATTAACTTAACTGTATAACAAATCTCAATATAAATTTAGTTTTACAGACTTGTATATTGACAGAACAAAATTGATGATAGGTGAATCTACTTGAGTAAGATATGCCGCCTGTTCTAATGCTCAGCATACTTAGTAATGAGTAACTGTTACAGAACATTAGATTTGTCATGATCTGTTTGTGTTCAGGTCAAGATACAAGCAATTTGATGTCCAGCTGACAGCAACCAGACAAACGAGGTTCATGCCAGTCACCATTGACGAGAATCTGCTCGACATGATCTACGAACCAAGGGAGGTAAGTCTGAAATAATATTCCATTGCTAACTTATGTTTCAGTTTGATATTCTACTGTATTTAGATATTACTTATGATCTTTCTAATGTCAGATCAGTACACATCATTAGGGCTAGTCTAGACATGGATAAAGGAGGGAGACACTTTTAATTGATAACATATGGGTAGTCAGGTCTGAAATAGTTGTCAATATTGTTATAGTGATAGTGGGTCTATGGTGTTGTGGTTACAAAACGTTTTTCATTTTGTAAACTTTATGTGTCATTAAAGGAACAATTAAATTAATTTAATGCAGATACATTGATAAACAAAGTTTTTCTTCATAAAAGTTAGAAAGAAATCTTCTTTGTGTTTTGTTCTATTTCTGGGATTTGAGCTGTATTTATAACCAGTCTCTAAAGATAAACTGGCCACAGTGGACATCGTCTACTAGTCATATCTCTATCAACTGCCTGAAGTTATATTAGGAGAGATATATCTTCAATATCTGACTAGTATTAAGGGTGTTAGTTGGCTAGTCTTTCAAGGTAATGATGCTTAATACAACAAAGTCCTGGATTAATAGATTCTATTGCTCCTGTGTAACGTGGACAGAACAACCAAAGGACTAGATTTTTGATGTTAGCAGGAGGCTTTGTCAAGTGCAAAACTTCAAAATTCTTATCCTGATTTGTAGATCCAATTTTAGTGGTGTTTTGCCCTATATATTAATGGATTACAGGTTTCACGATATGCAATTTGTTCAACTAAATTATTTATACATAAGGTGTTGTCAGTGAGGGACATTAAGTGCCGCCAGCCCCTGTATGGAGAAGCTGACTTTGTAGGGATGGTTGTGTCAGTTTCTACAGTCGACTTTGCAGAAAGGTAAATTGACAATATGTAAATTGACCGTTTTTTTAAAAGAAAAGCAAGAAATTCACATGTAACATTCCAAAACCTTCTTTCAAGTTTGACCAGAGCTGGTTTATGAAATAGGGTTAGACTCAGCAAATGCTGTCATATTGTTTTCTGGCAAGCCTTGAATTTAACAGCCTACAATAAACTATACAGGTCTACCAGACTTTGTCCAAGAAAATGTCTAGAAATATTTTTGACTTTGTTCTGTAAATGTTCTTGTCTCCTCCAGTGGTCGACACCAGGACATAGTCTATGCTATGGACGCCACTGGCAGTTACCTGGGAATTAAGTTCTGGGGTGGCTTAAAGGTGAGCATTATTCTACACAAACACCTTGTTTAGTGCTTTGCCTGCTTGTGAATTTCTGTTTTTATCATCAGTACAATTATGGGTTCTTTTTCTCACTAATCGTTATAGATAGCGCTATTGCTTCAAAGGACCAAGAGTATTGTGAATGATCTGATTTCCCTGTGTTACCATGTATGAGAGTCAGATCAGTGGTCAAGGTAGTTAATGATGAGTGTTTTTTATACACTAGTAAATAAAGCTACATTTTTTTGTAGAGTTTCTCCCTGGAAGACGTCCTGAGTGAAGGCCGGCTGTTCTGTGCCAGTAACCTGATGGACAAGTCGGCATATCGGTCGTCAGTCCTCCCCCTTCTGGAGGCTAGTATGGAGTGCTCTGTCTTCACCCAAGCCTCTCAGTACCCAGCACAAAGGAAGGCCCTTGACAGGCTCAAGTCTGTGTCAACGGTAGGCATAAAAGTTCAGTATTGGTCATCTTTTACACAGTGTTGCAGAAATATTTTGATCAAGTGTTGTAATAATCCAAACTCTTTTTGATGTTGGGAAATGCCACTGCCACCAGCTGCCCATGCAACGTATGAAGTTAGACTTTCATTTCTTACTTTTATCTTTCTTTGGCATCGCAAACTTTGTAATTTGTAAAACAAAGATGATTCAAAGTTCAAAGATTATTTACATGTTCTTCTGATATAGCCAGGTATAGGCTTAAATTTCATATTGATTGTATCAGATCACTCCTCAACTGCTATAATCATGCAATTTTAAATAAAATGGAATCAACAGTTCAGTGTACAATATATCTGACGAGCTCCATAACAGATTTAGTTTATAAACACAGTATGGTAACATGAAGTTTTACATTTGATTAGATTTTGGTGGTATATTCATGTATATCGATCAAGGTAAAAAGGTTTAAAGTCACATTTGACCACTTTGGGGTGGGCATTATATCTATGTGAGCCCCCTCTGATTTTCTGCATCACTTTGTGACAGGATACACATGGATTCCTAGAGGCAGCAAAGGAACATCTATCAGCCCTTAAGCAGCAGAAGAATGAAAACACAAAAAAGTTCACACCAGAAGTGAGAACTTTTTAACATTTCAAATTTTCATGACTGAGAAATTTTTATGCACAATGTCTAAAAAGTACTTAAAATGACGCCTATTTCACAAAATAACATCCTACTCTGTCTCTACATTAGAATACAGGTATTACCCAATCATCTATACATCTATTAAATGCAACATCACTAAAAGGTGTCATTATTTATTTACCGTGCAATACCAATATGCTTTCATAAAATAATATGTAGATGTATCTTTCAATGCTACAATATCGGCTTGTATGTTTACCTATACATGCTTTGAGTAGTTTAGGGTTTCTCTATTGAAGAAATACAGGTCTGCTTTAAGTATCCATGAAAAATTTAATCAGATCTACAAAAGGATTTATACATATTGGTAAAATGTATTTGACAGGTTATAATTCTTTAGCAAATCTCTTTGCCACGTAACATTTGAAGTTATTTCAGCATCCTGTTAATTGCTTTCTACTGATTTTTTTTTTCTACAACAGAAAACCTGTAAGCAAGACACGGTGGACATCCTTGACTCCGTCCTGAAAACCCCTGTAGAAGGAAGAACAGCTAGTTCTTCATCAACACCGTCAAGTGGAGAGGAGAGTGGTATGCCTCCTGGCACGGATAAACAGAGCCATGGCGCATACCAGGCAAGAATGTCTCGGCTGTTGAACTTTGGGTCACCAACCCCTCTGTCACCTCTTGTGTCCAAAATCAGTCACACTGTAAGCAAGGACTTCAAGCCCCCTGTACTACGACGTAAAAGCCTTGGACCAAACCACTGACATTATTTTATTAGGTGAATAGTGCTACCATACCTCTACATGTCTCAAAGGATAATGTGTCGGTCAGCAAGAGCGATAAACTATTAGATGTTGAACCAAACCACTCCTATGAGACCACTTGCACATAACCTGTGTTAAAGGGATTATGTGGAGTATGCTTACTTTAGGATAACATAATCATACTCATAAAATGTGTTGTAACTGCAATATTGGTTTAGAATTATGGTTTAATGTTTTATTATATATTATATTATATATATAATATGTGATAGAGCAGCATTTCATATCTGGTGTAGATAACTATTATCGTTTTGAAAAAAGTTTATGAGTTCTTATAAAAACCTGGTGCTTTTATTGTTAAAATGATTGTATGCTTTTATTTTACTGTATTCTTTGTGATAGTTATGAAATAACAAAAAGATGATCGTTATGATTTTAATTGTGTCAGTGTTGTTCATTTTTTTTCAAGAAATTAAAATACCTAGGTAATCATTAAATTCAGAATAATAGAGAATTGTCTGTGATCTTTACTGAGAGATTAAAAAATTATGTATGTATTCAGGGATCATACATGTCTTGAAAATTTGGACTTGAAAAGCCTTAATATTCATGAAAAGGTCCTAATAGTCCCTAAATTTAAAAAAAAAAAGGTCTTGAAAGGGTCAAAATAAGCCTTGAATTAAAACTATGGTTGTTTATTAATTTTGGTGGTTTTTGTGGTGTTAAATTTAAAAAAATGAAATATTTGTTACAAGTTAGTTTCTAGATTTTTAGCCCACCATCATCTGATGGTGGGCTATTCAAATCACCCTGCGTCCGTGGTCCGTCTGCCGTTTGCCGTCGTCCGTCCTTAAACAAATCTTGTTATCGCTAATTCTCAAGAAGTACCAGAGGGATCTTTCTCAAATTTTATATGTAGGTTCCCCTTGGTCCTAGGCTGTGCAGGGCAACTTTTGAGACTGATCGGATAAACAACATGGCCGACAGGCAGCCATCTTGGATTTTGATATTGAAAGTTTGTTATCGCTATTCCTCAAGAAGTACCAGACGGATTTTCCCATAATTTTACATGTAGGTTCCCCTTGGTCCTGAGCTGTGCAGGGCAACTTTTGAGACTGATCGGATAAATAACATGGCCGATAGGCAGCCATCTTTGATTTTGAAAGTGAAAGTTTGTTTTCGCTATTTCTCAAGAAGTACCAGAGGGATCTTTCTCAAATTTTATATGTAGGTTCCCCTTGGTCCTAGGCTGTGCAGGGCAACTTTTGAGACTGATCGGATACAACATGGCCGACAGGCAGCCATCTTTGATTTTGATAGTGTAAGTTTGTTATCACTATTTCTCGGGAAGTACGGGAGGGATCTTTCTCAAATTTTACATGTCATACCTGCCAACCCAAGATATACTAAAAGAGGGCCCTCTTTTTAAAATAAAAAAAGAGGGTCATAGCGTGCGACGGCTTTTTTCGCAAGAAATATAAGAAAAATAGATTTTAAATTATAACTTTAATATTTTAATGATGTAAAAGTTACATTCTACATTCATTGAACTGTTCTTCCAGCAGATCTAGCTGATCCTCATCCACAATACCAAATTCAAAGCTGAAAAATAAAAAGATTTGTCAACAACAACTTATAAAATCGTAACCCGGCGGGTGAAGTTATAAAAGCGGGTGAAGGGCTAAAATCCCGGGTGTAACCCGACGAAATCGGGTCACTTGGCAGGTATGATACAAAATGAATTAAAAGAAGAACTAAACTGATCTTTCTCATTATACACATGTGGACATTTTCGTGCTAATTTACTCAAAGTGAACAAACATTTTGACACTGCAAAAATGTCCACTTTAAATGCTGACATAAAAACTGTTTCATTTTATGATCTCTTTATAGTCATTGTTTATGTCTTCAAATTTATCCCATATCAGGTTGAATACAGGTAGTAACTATTTTGGGTTTGATAACTTTGCTAACACAAACTTTTAACAGCTTCTTACTGTCAACAGGTGAATACAGATCAGTACAACACCTGTTGTATGACTCGGGATGGTCAGTAACACTTGATAGACTGTCCCGTACATAGGGGGTAGTTCATATCTGCTAAGTTTATCTCGGTAGTCTCCCTGACACATCTCCTAACACAGGATGGTCAGTAACACTTGACAGACTGTACCCTAGATAGGGGGTAGTTCATATCTGCTAACTTTAACTCAATAGTCTCCCCTGACACATCTCCTGACTCGGGATGGTCAGTTACACTTGACAGACTGTCCCGTACGTAGGGGGTAGTTCACATCTGCTAAGTTTATCTCGGTAGTCTCCCTGACTCATCTCCTGACTCGGGATGGTCAGTAACACTTGACAGACTGTCCCGTACGTAGGGGGTAGTTCGTATCTGCTAAGTTTATCTCGGTAGTCTCCCTGACACATCTCCTGACTCGGGATGGTCAGTAACACTTGACAGACTGTCCCGTACGTAGGGGGTAGTTCGTATCTGCTAAGTTTATCTCGGTAGTCTTCCCGACACATCTCCTGACTCTGGATGGTCAGTAACACTTGACAGACTGTACCCTAGATAGGGGGTAGTTCACATCTGCTAAGTTTATCTCGGTAGTCTCTCCCGACACATCTCCTGACTCGGGATGATCAGTAACACTTGACAGACTGTCCTGTAGATAGGGGGTAGTTCGTATCTGCTAAGTTTATCTCGGTAGTCTCCCTGACTCATCTCCTGACTCGGGATGGTCAGTAACACTTGACAGACTGTCCCGTACGTAGGGGGTAGTTCGTATCTGCTAAGTTTATCTCGGTAGTCTTCCCGACACATCTCCTGACTCTGGATGGTCAGTAACACTTGACAGACTGTACCCTAGATAGGGGGTAGTTTGTATCTGCTAACTTTATCTCGGTAGTCTCCTTAACACATCTCCTGACTCGGGATGGTCAGTAACACTCGACAGACTGTCCTGTAGATAGGGGGTAGTTCATATCTGCTTACTTTATCTCGGTAGTCTCCTTAACACATCTCCTGACTCTGGATGGTCAGTAACACTTGACAGACTGTCCAGTAGATAGGGGGTAGTTTGTATCTGCTAACTTTGTCTCAGTAGTCCCCTTGACACATCTCCTAACTCTGGAAGGACAGACTGTCCCGTACATAGGGGGTAGATCGTATCTGCTAACTTTATCTCAGTAGTCTCCTTGACACATCTCCTAACCCGGGATGGTCAGTAACACTTGACAGACTGTCCAGTAGATAGGTGGTAGTTCATATCTGCTAAGTCTCAGTAGTCCCCTTGACACAACTCCTAACTCGGGAAGGTCAGTAAATGTGCAAATGGAGGGGCTGACCCCTGAAGTAATTTGGTAAAATTTCTTTAAGCTACTTTTTCTCTTGAACAAAGATATGGATATGATCTGTATTTGGTTGGAAGCATTTCATATGATGGGGATAAAAAATTATACAAATGGAGGGGCAAACTACCCATGGGGCTGAGGGGAGGGGCCAGAAAGGAATTAATTGGACATATTGCATTAAGTGACTTCTCTGGAATCAAGAGATGGATATGACCCACATTTGGTTAGAAGCATTCTCAGGTGGTGGGAATTCAAAATTGTATAAATGGAGGGGCTGACCCCCAGGTGGTGGGGATTTGAAATCATTCCAGTTAAAGGGCTTATCCCTGAGGCAAAGGAGTAAGGCCACAATTTTTTAAAACTTGGAAATGATTAATATCAAAACCCTATAACTATTAATACAACTGCTTAAAGAGAGAAATGTATAAATGCAACAAGGATTGCTCCGGGGTCTTGCCCCACCCTTAGGGACTTAGTTTCTGTGTCATAACTTTGAAATGGTTGACATCCCTACCCCATAAATACATATTTGCTGGGCATACAGAGACGTACACAATCACGATATCAGATTTGACCCTGGGGTCTAGCCACACCACCAGGGACTTAGTTTTGGTCATAAGATTGAAATGACTGAGATCCCCCACCGACCATATATACAATTGCTGACTATAAAGAGACGAATACACATCTGCTACCAAGATGGCAATTGGGTCTGACTCCACCTTTGGAGTTATTATCTGGGTCACAGCTGGGAAACAGTTGAGATCCCCACCGTATAACCACATAATTTATACACTTGCTGAATATAATGAGGCGAACACACATATGCTGCCAGGATAGCCCTGGGGGTCTTGCCAAGACTTAGTCCCTTGATATTTATGAAATCTCCACCCCATAATAATTGAAACAAGACGTTGTACCCCTATCAACAATCTCATGATGAACTTTGATATCATTAAACAGAATGGTAGAAAGTGTAGGAATGCTTCTTGGCCTTACGAAAGCATCTCTGTCATGGATCACAAAGTTATTTTGGACAAACAACTTACCACAAATGGCCGAGATGATAAGAAATATTGTAAGCACTAAATGTTTGATGTTATTGAGCAGCGAAAGCCATGGTCAAGAGGTCAACAAGAAGAGCAGAATCAGCAAAATCAAAATGCAATCATGAGGGACACTACCAGCCACAGACACCCGCCATTGGAATGGACCTTATACATAGACTGTCAGTTTTATGTACGGTAAAATCAAAAATCGAAACAGTGACATCTACATAGGTAACCCATCAAGTCACTAAGGTAGCAGTGTACAGTAACGTACGGTGGCCATGGTTGATATTTTTGTACAATGAATAACCCATATAATATTACATGTATCAAAATAAAAAATGAAAATTCAGCACTAAAATTGGCATATGCATGATGAAGTGGACCATGTGGGCTTCACATTTAAAAAAAAAAATCGAATTTGGTTTGAGACTCCATTTTTTTTTGCCATTTGCAAATATGTGTCTACACAACAAAAGCTAGCTTTTCATGTACCCAGGTAGTCTATTTTTGTACTAAGCACATGTGTAAATATTGTAAAAAAAAACCAGTTGAACGACCTATGCTAATTAAACGTGAGTATTTCTGTTATCGAGTAGTTGATATTCAATTTATGACAGGTTTAAAGAAAAAAAATACTATATTGCGTGGGTCAAATTTTGGGTTAAAAATCATGTTTTTTTGCATTTTTTTGATGTGGTAACCATGATTTTCACAAGTCCCAAATCTGGGGAAATCACCTTTTGAAAAAAAAAACATTCTTCTAAAAAAATTGTATTCAAAATGTAGTTTATAAATATATATATATATATGTAGGTGTGTTGTGCAGGACGAAACCGCTATCCATGTTTATCTGAGACATGCCCTGTATTTTTAGGATCAAGCCATTTCTACTGTACTCTGCTACCTAATGAGCATAATGAAAAAACACTGACCCTCAGTGCTTGAAAAAGTTGCCAGGCAACTCAAGAAATATGTTCTCAACCGTAAATTCAATCATTCTCACAATTTCATTTCTTCACTATAATTCATTTTTGGCTCACTGTATCTTTAACCAAATTTTGAAGGTGCAATCACCTGTGTCCTGTTCATCTTTCATGATACAAGGTGGTAGACTCTGCTGGTGGGTTACGTGTAAAGATACAAGGTGGTAGACTGAATTTAGTCTGAAAGGTTTATTGTGGACTTGATGGCCATATAGTTATCTCTTCTTAAGTAGTGGCATGGTTCTTAATATACACACTCTAAGATTATTTGATTTGAAATTAACCAGTACACCTCTGATTTTTAAATTCTTAATTTAAGGTATTTTACAAACCTTTGTCCTTCTTTTTCAACCGTAGTTTAGACTATTTTGATTTCCAACTTTCCGGTCTTTATCGACTGATTTATGGTCATTTACAAAACAAAGACAATAAAAATTGTTAATATCCAATCAATTTTGTAAGCATCTTCTCCTGGCGAATGAGTTGCAGATTGCTGACTGTTTTGTTATATTTCAATTTTAATGACCAACTCAAACTAACATTTCCACTGGTATCTATCCAGCATCGTCCGTCAACTTTTCCTTTAAACAACTTCTGGAGAAGAACAAAAAGGCCTAGAGTCTTGATATTTGACTGAAAGCTTCGTTGGTAGGAGCCTGACAAAGTTTGAGAATGAAAACGACCTTGACCTACTTTCAAGGTCACAGTGGTCAAATTTGTCAAACGCTTCAAACAACTTCTCCTGAAGAACTGAAAGGTATAGAACTTCATAATTTGCTGGTGGCTTCTTGGGAAAGAGCCAGACAAAGTTTGAGAATGAAAACGACCTTGACCTACTTTCAAGGTCACAGTGGTCAAATTTGTCAAACACTTCAAATAACTTCTTCTGATGAACTGAAAGGTATAGAATCTTCATATTTGGCTGGTTGCTTCCTTGGGTAGAGCCCAACAAAGTTTGAGAATAAAAATGACCTTGACCTATTTTAAAGGTATCATGGGTCATTTGTAAAACACTTCAAACGACTTCTTCTGAAGAACTGAAAGGTATAGAGTCTTCATATTTGGTTGGTTGCTTCCTGGATAGAGCCAGACAAAGTGTGAGAATGAAAATGACCTTGACCTTCTTTCAAGGTTTCAGGGGTCAAATGTGTCAAACACTTCGTATGACCTCTTCTGAAGAACTGAAAGGTATAGAATCTTTCATATTTGGCTGGTGGCTTCCTGAGATAGAGCCCGACAATGTTTAAAAATGAAAATGGCCTTGACCTTCTTACAAGGTCACAGGGTTCAATATATGTCAAACAATTAAAAGACTTCTTCTGAATAATCTTAGAGCATAGATTTATAATATTTGGCTGGTAGCTTCCTGGGATGGCACCTGACAAAGTTTGAAAATGAAAATAACCTGAGATCTCCTTATAAGGTCACAAGGGTCAAATATGTCAAACACTTCAAACAACCTCTGAAGAAGAACCAAAACGAATTGTATAATAATATTTGACTGGTCATTTCAACAGATGGAGCCGACAGAGTTTGCGAGTGAAATATTTGTAGTACATGATAATTTTTAATGAGAAGATTTTACTTTGACTGCTTAAATATTCAGGTGAGTGATACAGGCCCTCTGGGCCTCTTGTTAGGTATATAACAGAGTTGTATACTGTTGTGTCAAGATCATGTCCATGTTATAAACACAATTATAAATGTTATGCCACTTTAATTATTAAGGATCCTGATTTGGGAATAAAATAGTTTGTGTCATCTGTAGACAAAAAATGGTGCATCTATTCTAAGGCTACATTATTGTTATAACTGATTTGTTGACACATTTATTGATTTAAAAGTATTTTTGCAAAAAGTGATTCGATTTCAGTACTGATCCGATTTGGGTACTGCCTAATGGGGAATTATTAATAGAAATTATGCATGTTGTGGTATGATAATTTTACCTCTTAGAAGCGAGTCTCTGTGATTCCGTTTCAAGATCGTTTATGCAACAAAATTGAATCCCAATAGACCAAATATAGCATTTACCAAATTTCGTGCATACGCAAAATTTCTCCAAAAAATTATTTGAGCTTTCCTGTCGGGCGACAAATGGGATCCGGACGATTCCGTAGCAGACTCCGACTTATCTACTGTAAACGCCTTTTGAGCGTTTCCGTGATCTTCTGTACACTGATCGTAGAGGTTACTCCACACATGTATGTGTCACTTCGTGTGTAATCCTTGCGAATGAAATGTTGATAAAAAAAGGCAGCCAACACGGTGCGAAACTTTTTTCGCTTATGTTTGGTCTTGCAGGAGGAGTGTATATTTTTTTACCAGTCTTTAAAGCAGCTGTGGTACATCAAAGGCAACAGGAGGCCCTAAAAGCGACGGCGAACGAGACGGAAACACAAATTATTACTGAATCGGAATCCGGACAGGCATCATAACATTGTCGAACACATTGAACGGTAAATATAATTAGTAATGTTACACATGTTCCTGTTAGTGTAGATTCTAGATTAACACAATTTAACTTAAGGTGGTTTATCAGGGCTCGTGTACGAAATTTGTAGTGGGTTGCCATATTTCCTCAAAGATAAATGGAAACAGCCGCGAAAGTTTAGAAATCTTTTATCCTTCGAGGGCATAAACATCAACATTGATGGAGCCCCCGTAAAATTAAGAAGTAGAAGAAGAAAATGTAAACTATTACCAAAGGTGACGTTTTCGCTAAAAAAAAGTGGCGTGTCATAGGTACACAGTTTGTTTATTTTGGCATTCACAGCAAAATTATTGCTTGGGTCGAACATTTTCTCCTTGACCGTAGTGGGAAAGTTGCTGTAAGTAACACCAAATCTTCGTCCGGCTTGTTCCCTCTGGAGCCTCCCAAGGCATGGGGCCCTGCCTTTTTCTAATCTATATTAATGATCTACCAGACTCTACCACAAGTCAAGTTAGACTTTTTGCAGACGACAATATTGTCTATGTACATGTAACTGTTTCATCTGACGCAGTTCTGGAAAAGTGGGAACAAAACTGGCTAATGTCATTCAACCCTGATAAATGTGAAATACTACACATCTCAAAGAAAAGAATGACCCACACATTTTAATACATTCTTTAGGACCAATTCTCCAGAAAGCAGATTCGGCTAAATACCTGGGCTTAACTATATATCATTAAAATCTTTCATGGAACACCCACATCAATTACATTACCAACAAAACCAATGCATCCCTAAGATTCATTTGGAGAAACATCAAAACCATTAATGTAAAAACAAAAGAGGACCATATATCTATGATTCAGTACCAAGAACGAACCAATACATCGCTGCTTCCATAGATAGGATAGTCAGAAGAGTGTCACTGGGGATCTTCTTAAAAAAAGTATCTAAAAGCTGGGAACTGGCCGTACAAGGTACCACAGGGTCAGTGTGTGGGCACCCATCCAGCCACTGACCACCCTCAATGAGCCAACATTGCTAAACTAGTGAGTGTTACCACGGGTTATACCACATCGCTGAAAAAGCTTTCTTGTCAGGAAGGCAGTATATTTCCATCATATTCCTTGGCTATTGCATATCATGTACTATGTAGATAGATTCTATTTGACAAATTGACATTCAGTTTTACAATTTTTAGCTCACCTGGCCCGAAGGGCCAAGTGAGCTTATCCCATGGTGCAGCGTCCGGTGTCCGTCAACTTTTTCCTTTAAAATGCTACTTGTCCTGAATGGCTCAGAGGATTTTGACCAAATTTGGTCAGGAGCATCATTGGCCAAAATGTTCTCAGTTTTGTATAAACGGAGGGTATAACCCCCCTGGGGGCAGAGGGGCGGGGCCAAATAGGGGGAAAATAGGTAAATCTTTAAAAATCTTCTTCTTCTCAACCAATTGAAGGATTTTGACCAAATTTGTCCTAGAGCATCTTTGGACAAAGGAGACTCAAGTTTGTATAAACGGAGGGTGTGGCCTCTTTTGGGGCAGAGGGGCGGGGCCAAATAGGGGAAGTAGAGGATTTTTTCTCTCCTACTATACAAGTGAAGGGATTTAAACCAAATGCAGTCTGAAGCTTGGTCAGGAGCATCATTGGCCAAAGGGTTCTCAGTTTTGTATAAACGGACGGTATAGCCCCCCCTCGGGGCAGAGGGGCGGGGCTAAATAAGGGGAAAAAAGGTAAATCTTTAAAAATGTTCTTCTTCTCAACCAATTGAAGGATTTTGACCAAATTTGTCCTAGAGCATCTTTGGACAAAGAAGACTCAAGTTTGTATAAACGGAGGGTGTGGCCCCTCTGGGGGCGGAGGGGCGGGGCCCAATAGGGGAAATAGAGGATTTTTTTTCTCCTGCTATACAAGTGAAGGGATTTTAACCAAATGCAGTCTGAAGCATGATTAGGGACAAAAGAATCAATTTTGTATAAACTGAGGTGTGTGGGTCCCCTTCTAGGGGCAGATTGGTGGGGCCCATTAGGGGAAATAGAGGAAAACATCCAAGATCCTTCTCCTTTTGTACTGATGAAGGGATTTCAACCAAATTTGGTCTGGAGCATCATGGGCCAAAGGGTTCTCAGGTTTGTATAAACGGAGGGTATGGTCCCCATGGGGGCAGAAGGGTGGGGCCAAATAGGGGGAAATTAGGTAAATCTTTAAAAAAAATCTTGTTGTCAACCAAAAGAATGATTTTGACCAAATTTGTTTTAGAGCATCTTTGAACAAAGGGGTTTCAAGTTTGTATAAACGGAGGGTGTGGCCCCACTGGGGGCGGCAGTGGAGCATGTCTTAATAGGGAAAATAGAGGACATTTTCTCTTACTCTACAAGAGAAGGGATTTCTAATAACTAATTAAAAGCCAAAGACCCCGACCAAAGCACTGGAACAAGTTTGCCCTCCTCTCATGATCATCACTAATTTTATACACGATATTCATGAACAAAACTAACATATTTTAACTATACAATAATCCCAGGTGAGCTATTAAGGCCCCTGGGCCTCTTGTTGTAGCAAATGTACATGTATACCCACTTCAAATATATATGCTTATACTTTTTCTCTTGTTTATGCTTTCAGGTATTTCTGAAACAGAAATGAAAGTGCCCAAAGGAGCATTGTATTTTGCATCGCTAGCATCACTAGCCCTATTGTTTGCTGATATGCTTTCTCGTAAAAGAGATCCATTAGGAGACTCTGAAATACATAGATTGTCTCGTTTCAAAGAATTTGAAGACATGTCCAAAAAGAATAAGGAAGAGGAAATGTTTGATTAGTTTAAATGGGATGGAAATGGAAAGCAGAGAATTGTTATACAAGCATTTTTATAGAGTTTGGTTTGTTGGATAAATGGAGAATCGAACTGTGTAGCAACTGTGATGCCTAAGAAAGGTGGTAAGATGGCTAGATAAGCACAGACTTGTGTATAAATGACGAGAGAGACGAGGGTTTCTACCTTTCTCTCATGGATACCTGTACTTTTCCAATGAAGAAAAATTATGTACCATATACATTGTATTTTTATAGATCACAGAACTAATAGCAATAGAACACTTTCAAAACATCCACTACTATAGCAGGAACAAGATGGACATTCTGTTGTTTAGTGATCTTATTAAAATTATACTGAATTGTTGACGATTCAGAACGGTTACGGTACGAGAAAATTGTGAAAACATCTATATTTTACCTTCTCTTGGATATGATGTTTAAATATACCCCCGAATTACTGGGTGATTTTAACATTTTGACATGTAAGTTAATTTGCAGTCAAGAACAATCTTGTTTAAATGTGTGTTGTTCATGTAAAAAAATAAATCAAATTGTAACATGTGTTTTGTTAACAGTTTTACTTATTACAATGGGAAACTTAACTTGGACCTGAATACATGCACTTGATGTTGTTGCAGTCAAAGAAATCTCAATCCCTGCGTGAGGGTGTTGTGTTCAGCAGGTTACATGTTTTTGTGACCCCACCACACAATCTTGTGTCCTTCCTTGTCAACACATGTATTAATTTATAATTGGAACAAGAGGCCCAATGGGCCTTGGTCGCTCACCTGGTATTAATCTCACACTTGTTATCTTAAAAGTGGACTAAAATACAGCTACAGGCAGAATATCAGTGTTTGATTCATAAGAACCTATTAAAAGATTTAAACATATGACGCCTGTGACCTTGAATGTCGAACAAGGGCATTAGGTTGAAAGTGGGTCAAGGTCATTCATTTCAACAAACTTGGTAGCCCTTTGCGCAATATCAGTACCCTGGGCCTTTTGGTTATTGAGAAGTCATTTGAAGATTTTAAGACGTCCGACCCCAGTGACTTTGTAAGTGGGTTAAGGTTATTCATTTTAACAAACTTGGTAGCCCTTCATCTCAGCATGTTACAAGCCCAATATCAGTACCCTCGGCCTTTTGGTTATTGAGAAGTTGTTTGAAGATTTTAACATATTTGACCCCTGTGACCTTGAAAGTGGGTCAAGGTCATTCATTTGAACAAACTTGGTAGCCCTTTATCCCAGCATGCTACAGGCCCAATATCAGTACCCTGGGCCTTTTGGTTATTAAGAAGAAGTCGTTCGTAGATTTTAACATATTTGACTCTGTGACCTTGAAAGTGGGTCAAGGTCATGTATTAGCTCACCTGCATTTTGACCACCTTTGGTCAGAAGCATCCTTAGGGGAAGGGGAACCAATTTTGTATAAATGGTGGGTCTGGCCCCCCTGGGGGCTGAGGGGCAGGGCCCAATAGGGCAAATATAGCAAATTCTTTTAAATTCTTCTTCTGTAGAAATTAAAGGATTTGTTCCATATTTGGTCTGAAGCATCCTTGGGGGAAGGGGAACCAATTTTGTATAAACCGGGGGTCTGAGGGGCAGGGTCAATAGGGAACACATAGCAAATTCTTTAAAATCCTTCTTCTTCTGTAGGAATGAAAGGATTTGTTCCATATTTGGTCTGAAGCATCCTTGGGGGAAGGGGAACCAATTTTGTATAAAGCATGGGTCTGGCCCCTGAGGGGCGGGGCTCAATAGGGGAAATATAGCAAATTCTTTAAAATCCTTCTTCTGTAGGAATGAAAGGATTTGTTCCATATTTGGTCTGAAGTATCCTTGGGTTAAAGGGAACAAATTTTGTATAAACCGTGGGTCTGGCCCCCACAGGGACCTGAGGGGCAGGGCCAAAAGGGAGCAATTGGGCTCTATTGATTTAAGGGACTTCTTCTCTGAAACTAAGAGATGGATATCAACCACATTTGACTGGAAGCATCCCTTGGTAGTGGAGATTCAAAATTGTACAAATGGCAGGGCTGACCCTCTCAGGGGGCTGAGGGGCGTGGCCAAAAGGGGGCAATTTAGCTATGTTACTATAAACTTCTTATGTAGAATTATGCCATGGATATCGATCATATTTGGTCAAAAGCATTCATGGGAGGCAGGGATTCAAAATTGTACAAATGGTGGTCCTGGGGTCTGGCCACAACCCTAGGGATCTAGTTTCTGAGTCACAGCTTGGAAACAGTTAAGATCCCCACCCCATAACCATACATTAAATTGCTGGGCATGAAAAATCTAATATAGACATACTACAAGAATTGGCATTGGGTTCTTGCATATTCCCTTGATTGATAGGATATCCAGGTGAGCGATACATGCCCTATGGGCCTCTTGTTTGAACAAACTTGGTAGCCCTTCATCTAAGCATGCCACAGGCCCAATATCAGTACCCTGGGCCTTTTGGTTATTGAGAAGAAGTTGTTTGAAGATTTTAACATATTTGACGCCTATGACCTTGAAAGTGGGTCAAGGTAATTCATTTGAACAAACTTGGTAGCCCTTCATCCCATATTTGACCCCTGTGACCTTGAATATCGGTTAAGGTCAATTATTTGAACAAACTTGGTAGTCCTTCATCCCAGCACGATTCTGGCCAAATATCACCATATTGGTCCTTTTAGTTATTGAGAAGTTGTTAAAACTTTTAAGACAATTGACCCCTGTGACTTTGAATATAGGTGAAGGTCATTTATTTTAACAAACTTGGTAGCCCTTTATCCCAGTTTGCTTCTGGCCAAATATCATCACCCTTGGGCCTTGCGGTTATTGAGAACAAGTTGTTTAAAGTAAAATATTGACGCCGGACACCGTCGGGCCAGGGGAGCTAATAACCCTAACTAAACATATTGTACCTGTTTTACCTATTGCTGTAAAGACAGACAGATCCAACCAAATCTCCCTATTGTTGCCCAAACAGTTTGATACTTCAACGATTGATGCCTATTAATTTTTGGCATGGTTTGTCAAAGGTCAAGGTCACAATTACTAAAGACAATACAACTCAAACTTTCATTTACAATTTTCTTTTCTGGATTTCCAGAACAAATAATTGCACAAAGGTCAGACATGCTATGTGAGTTACAGTAGGGAGAGAAGAATCAAATTGATTTTGTGTGCGATTCATCAAAGGTCAAGGTCTCTGTTACTAAAAACAAAAAGTTACATAATCTAACTTCGGAACAAATAATCATACAAAGCTTAGATGTGGTTTGTGAGTTACCCAAGAGAAACGCCTATTGAATTTGGGCATGAGTCATCAAAGTTTGATATGTGTTGCTAAAGTTGGCTTTATTGTTTGGATCTTAAAATCTTTAAGACTTTGTTTGCGAGTTGCCCTTTGGAAGAATAGGATCACTACTGATATTGAGCATGATCAGCTTAAGGTCAAAGTCACCTTGACTAAAGATAGAAGTTCATGTAACAAGTTACTGGGGGAACTTGTCCAGATGCTAATTTTAAGTCATCACTCGATGTGAGCTGCTATAGGTAAGAGAAGAATTCTATTAACTTGGGAGTGTTTGTCAAAAGCCAGGATCAATATTACAATATGAGGTATTGGAATTGTCTAAAAACTAACTTTAAGGTACCACTTCTAAATTTAAATGCAGTAGTAACCATTTCACAAGCACAGCCCCTTGCTAATGAAAATCATTTTATATATCAAACAATGTTGCTTAAGAGATTTTTCAAATTTGTCGGAATATGCTGCCTTCAATTTCTCGTCCCCAGCATAACATCATATCATTTTACTAAACAGTAACCAAACTGACAATATTTATGTACATGTTATGATGTATCTAGAGGTGGCAATATAGTAATGAAAACTATATACAGTTATAACCACTTGTTCATTTTTGATATCAAATTTTGACCAGAACATTTTCTATTTTACTTCCATTCACCAAACTTGAACTTGCATTTCTCGGGAAGATGTTGTATACTGAACTTGATCATATTTCCTTCGCCATATAGCCATCATCTTGGTCAGAGTTTAAATAGCTATTGCATGATGTGTCGCAGACAATTGTTCTGTATCCCCAGTGCTCCCGTCAAGTTTTGAAATCGATTCCTTGCATTTTACTTTGGCTCAAATTATTAACTACAGATTCATTACAGAGAACAAGTTACACAGCAGCATTTTACACCATTATTGTGACAAATAGTCGTATGCACTTATTATAATAAGACATGCCAAGATTTTGTTATAATTTCTTCCTCATGAAAGATTTAATAGTTCAAATGAACAATTGGTTTTCCACCAGACAGTATAACTATTTGAGACACTGGTATTATAGATTTTTATGTAATATATACACTGATCAATTCCTTTTTAGGCATTCTTGGTTTATGTCTTGTAGGTAGCAATGAAACCATGATGGACATTTCAATGTACTGCCTAACTGTGTATAACCCAGCAGGGCTTTCAGCCGACTCTTGGCATTTAGCATTTTCAGAATTAAAAAAGCTTACCCCCTTAAATTTGGAGTTGTAAGACTTTTCAAGTAGACAAATCCTTTCGAATTCAGAAGCAAAAGCAAATTTTTGGGGGTCGATAAAAGATCACCTCAAAGGGCAGTGAAAGCTGTGTTGGTATTCCGATAAATTAGACATCATACATAACAGATTTTCTGAGTCTAATAATACACAAAACTCATTTCTAGATGTAACATTTCCTGTTTTAAACTTTTGTTTTCTTTGAGAGTGAGAAAAAATGAACATGTGTTTGCTGTTTGATAATTGTCCAATATGATATATATTGAACAAATATCCCTTTATTTAGATGGTGTTTTTAACATGTGTTTAATTTTATTTGCTGCACTTAAAACACATATTAATCACGAAGGTGAATTCTTCATGTAACTTGTAGTCTGGCACAGACCATGAGATGTTCTTTAAATCGCATTTCACAAAGACGTGTTCAGTTATCTTTCGACATAATTTAACTTTTTAAAACAGGTTAATTGTAGGACAGTTTTCATTTTTTTTGTCTGTCTTGTTTAAGAGCACTTTCTGATGAGTGATCCCTCCTTCACATGTACTGTGTGGTCAAACATATGTGATGGTCACAATTAAAATCAAGTCGCAATTCTGTCCAATGACACATCAACTCTGGATGTTTTTTAACATTCTGTTTTTGGTTTGGAGATACATTTCATCAAACTTCTGTTTGACAGGCCACTGATCATGGACAGTAATCACATGCTGTCTGATGGTAAATTAGATTAATCACGGAATAACATCACATTCCATCTGATGGTCCACTGCTGGTAATCAAGGAATATTATCACATTCCGTCTGATGGTCAACTGATTACGGAATATTGTCACAGGCTGTCCAATAGTGCCCTGATTCCGTGATTTAATTATGTTTACACCAATAACACAGCATTGATACAGCCATCATTTTCAGGATTGTTGGTCACCTGGGCATATTTTCCTGCAAACAGATGAAGCCAGAGTTCAACTAAAGACAGCAATTAAAAGCAGTATATATGTCTGACACCATCTCATGGTGTGTACCTCTGATAGAAAAAGTTCATAAGGTATATTAACTAAATGCTACTCTGAACATAAATACAATGAAGGGAAAAGCCTGCACTTCGTTTCATAATTTTGAACTTAACTGGTGCTCCAACATGAAGTAAACTATTTTTAACATTCCTGTAACTTTGATAAACTTATTGGACTTACCCCAAATTACTTTTCCTCCCTGTGTAACTAGACCCAATTCACTGATGTTTACCTAGAAATAAAGCGAAAAAGCACATTCTGTTACAATAGTTCAGGTGATTGATAAATAATAAATGGCCCATCAACACATAACAAGAGGCACAGAGGGCCTGTATCTTTCACCTGAATATTTAAGCAGTTAAAGCAAAATATTCTTATTCAATATTATACTGTTCTACAAATATTTCACTCGCGAATTTTGTCAGCTCCATCTGTTGAAAGAATCTACCAGTCAAATATTAGTATATGATTCTGTGCTTTTTGGTTCTTCTTCAGAAGTTGTTTGAAGTGTTTGACATATTTTTGCCTGTAACCTTGTTAGTAGGTCAAGGTCATTTTCCTTCTCAAACTTTGTTGGCTCTATCCCAAGAAGCTACCAGCCAAATCTGATGAATCCATTCCTTTAGTTCTTCAGAACAAATTTTTTAAAATGTTGTGGACCTCTGTGACCTTTAAAGTAGGTTGAGGTCATTTTCATTTGCAAACTTTGGTGAGCTTTATCCCAAGAAGCCACCAGCCAAATATTATGATTCTATGCCTTTCGATTATTCATCAGAAGTCGTTTGATGTTTTTGACATATTTGACCCCTGTCACCCTGAAAGTAGGTCAAGGTCATCTTAATTCGCAAACTTTGTTGTGCTCAATCTGAAGAAGTTACCAGCAAAATATTAGGTTCTATACCTTTCAGTTCCTCAGAAGAATTCGTTTGAAGTGTTTAACATATTTGATCGCTGTGACCTTGAAAGTAGGTCAAGGTCATTTTCATTCTTAAACTTTGTCAGGCTCTATCCCAGGAAGCACCAGCTGTATATGAAGATTCTTTACCTTTTAGTTCTTCAGAAGTTGTTTGAAGCCTTTGACATATTTGACACTTGTGACCTTGAAAGTAGGTCAAGGTCATTTTTTCTCCCTCAAACTTTGTCTTGACCTATCCCAGGAAGCAACCAGCTGTATATGAAGATTCTATACTGTGTTTGACACATTTGACCCCTGAAACCTTGAAAGTAGGTCAAGGTCATTTTCTTTTCCAAACTTTGTCTGGCTCTATCCCAGGAAGCAACCAGCCAAATATGAAGTTTCTATACCTTTCAGTTCTACAGAAGTCGTTTTGAAGCATTTGACATATTTTACCGCTGTGACCTTGAAAGTATGATAAGGTCATTTTCGTTCTCAAACATTGTTGGGCTCCTACCAACGAAGCTTATAGCCAAATATCATGACTCTGGACCTGTCCATTCTAAAGAAGAAGTTGTTTAAAGGAAAAGTTGACGGACGATGTGGTACCATGTGAGCTTAAAATGTACTGAGCAGACCAGTAGTATAGGTTAACACTTGACTTTAAGAGAAGCAAATGAAAGACAGAAAAATAATTACAACTGGAGGCCCATATGGGACATGCATTCCTTGATATCTGTTTCTGATGAAAATATTTTCAATATGAGACAATGTTTGCCACCTCAGATTATTATTAACTGCTAAAGGAATTTTTGTGCTGATGAGCAATTAAACTTAAACAAGCACTGAAGGATCATACACAACACCTATTCCTATAAAAAAACACCTGCCCCAACACATATTTCATTAATTTGTAAATTATGCCTCCAGTTTTCTATGGATGGGTCCACTTTAGTATTTCGATTGTTCATAAATCAACCTAGCCCAATAATTGTACGTGTTATAGCTTTTCTGTTTGTGAGTTGAACAATCAAAAATTCTTGCACCCGCATCTTTGTAGCTGTGTTTAAATAAACATGTACACACAAACAGAAACATGAGGTAATGCTTTTTCTTCATGGGCTCGTTGTCCAAGATCTGGTAATAACTGATAACTTGGAAAATTAACTGGTTACATCAATTTCTATTGAAAATATCAAGTACTTGCGAATTTAAGGTATTCCTTTAAAAGGGAAATAGAGAACAGAGACTTTGAGTGAAAATGTGCGACAACTGACCATTTAGTTCAAGCTGTGAATAGTAAAGACGCCATACCTCTATAACTGTTCCCTTTGTGATGACTCCTAGCGAGGTAAACATGGTTGATGTAGGATTTTTCTTTACTCCAATGATCGGTAGACAAAATGTGGCTTTTAGTTCTGGATGTGTGACGTGTGCTTTTTTAAACCGCAATCCCTGGATAAGAACAGTTTTTATCATCATGACAAATTAAGATTGTAGTAGAACATGTTAATAAAGAACGTATGGGTGATTAATAAATTAGTTTGATGTAGGCATAAGTCATTTGAGCATTAGCCATGAGACAATTCCAAATGGTACAAAGAAGACATTGTTGTAAGAAGTTGCAAATCCCAAGTGAAACCATTTTTTTTTGTGATTTTATCTTTGAAAAGGTAAAAATAAAAATCGTATTGCCATATCAAAATGTTTTGCAATTAATCCAGAACTAAAAATGCATAATCTGAATTGTTCCATTTAAACACTAGTATATTTGTACAAAAAAATAATTAAATATCAATGATCAATTTAGAAAACATTGAACTATTATTTTGCAAGGTAACTTACCATGGGTCTGATAAACCTTTCAAACTTTGGCGGTTTTCTTGTAAACCCTTCCCCAACATAACATACTTTTGTTACCATTCTTTTCCAGCCTTTCCCTGAAATGACACAAAGTACTGGAAATTAAGTATTATTTATTAAAATGCTAAAATTAAAAAACTTTCCATCATAAAGATCTTTCAAGTTGAATTGATATGCAAATTCAATTATTCTTCCTCTCTTACTACAAGATCTAAGTAAGCAAAAGTGGAACAAGTTGTTTTTTCATTCCCGATAACACTTCAGAACTTCATTTCCAGATGAGGAAAGTACATTAATTGTTGTTGTAAAAATACCTTTCATAGTATAACAGTTCAAATTAGCAACGTTTGACTGTGTTAACGGTCAAACCTGCATAAAGATACATTCCAAGGGAGGCAGAGTTCACAATGAAATGGTCTCAAAATACAAGTGGGCCCTAAGGGAAGTGGTAGCATGAGCAGGTTTAACTGTACTGATTACACCTAAATAAATACCTGGTATGTCTGAAGGGAGTTGAGAATATAGGATATCTTAAAAGCAATATTGGACATTTAGCTTTGTCTTACTTTCCGTAAATGTAGGAAAAGTATAAACTTTATAATATATAAATAAATACTTATAATACTTTCCAATATAAAACATAGACTGAATCAGGATACTTCAGTATTAATTTGACAGATTTCTGGCATAGCCTCTAAAGACTGACTGCTGATGTATAGGAGGTACTCACGGTTCGTTTTTCCTGTTTTTATTACTTTAAATACTTCTGCTTCACTAACTCCTCGTACCTTTGGAATAGGTACATCCCATTTACCCTGAAATCAAGTTTAATGGGACATCATTATTTCTTTATCAGAAAACATGACAGAAAATACAAAGTAGCAAAGGATCAACTTCAAGTGACATAGAGAATGTACAACATTAAGCAAGACAAGCAAGCATAGTTGTATAAAAAAATTAAGGATGCCTGTCCAACTGCACTGAGGTTTTTTTCCTATATATACAGTGACCTCCCCTTAATTTCTCATTGGATATACTTTTAGTACAATTCAGTCAGGACACATCTGTTGACAAGGTAGCTCAATCGGTGTCCTGCAAGGTATGGTTTTATTTTCAGAGATGGTTTATCAAAGATGTAGTCATGCTGGAAAAGACAATTTCTTATACTGGTTTTTGGCAGTGGTACAGGGATCCTTAAGTGAGATCTAAGTGAGACCCATTACTAAGAAATATAATGTGTTTTTTAAATCTGGTGAGTCCCACAGGACGAGGCTTGGACTCTTATATCTGTGTCCCCAAAACTCTCTGCAGTGTGTAAATCAAAAATCCTAAATGACAAGGGAATGTACCATATGAATCATAGACATCACTGTATAAACATGTATGAACATACAAAATTGTGAGCCTTCTATCTAATTACATTAAACATTTATTAATGAGAACAAGAACACTGTTATTCAATTCACTTTTGGAAGAAGTGTTAATTCACTCTTGTCTGTGTTTAAACACAGGACAGAAAATCTACCTTGATATTTGTGTGTGGGGAACTACAGTTTGTCATACCAAAACCATTCTTTGTAATTTTATTGTTGATTTGCCATTTTAAGTGTATTGCTATAGAACAATACTTGCTGATTATAGTTTAGTTTCCTTGGAAATGGCTATAGAACAATACTTGCTGATTATAGTTTAGTTTCCTTGGAAGTGACCAACAACACTGAGGGAGTGGCGTTTAAGTTTATGTGGGAAATTATCTATTATCATTGGTTTGTAGAACACAGCACTGGACCTGGACACCTGTCACTTACAGCTTTTTCCTTCCTCTTTTGTTTGACCATGTTAGATAGGACTTTGGCACGGCTCTGTCCCTCTCTGTCCAGCAGGTAAGCAGGCACTGCTCCGTCTGGCACCACATCATCCTTCTTCTGTTTTGTCTTTCTCTCTTCATGCATCTTAATTCTGTTAACAAATCATTCTCTAACTATAATTACCAGGTATGTTGACTTGTTTATATTTTAAGAAAAAAAATACAGCTATTCTATGATTTCATTCAAACTATTTCTTCCTTAAACATTGTAATTATATGATCGTGAAATATGAAATTATCAGTGTCTTTCAAAAAAAATAAAAAATATCGAAGAAATGGTACATGAATGTAAACATTTTTTTTTTGTCATCAATGAAGAGAATGTTTTCCAAATGTTATTTTAAATAATAAAACAGTAATTGCCTTCAAATTTTATGTAATTAGACACACTTCATTTAATGTATAATTCAGTGACCTAAATAAATCCTCAAATATTGTAAGTGTCAAAAAAACAACCTTCCTTCAATTTACTATGAAGGTGGTAACTTTTTTACAGGAAACCATGCAAAAAAACCCTTGATCTTTTCCATTGGAATTTTGATGATAGTTTCCTGAATCAAAATTGAACTCTTGACTTCTTTCACTTACGTTTTCTTCATCTGTATTTTTTCTGAATGTCTCTTCTTGTTGTGTAATTTGGCTCTGGAAAAATAATCAGAAATGTGTCATTCAGTTACTGGAAGTCTTAATTAGTTCTACTATTATACAAGTTCAGAATGTGCAGATCACTTCTTTCTCTGTTATAGTAATATTGTTCATATTAGGGCTGTCACAATATATCGAAAAACAGGTATATCGCAATACACAGGCAGATGGTATCGAACAACAATACAGATATGAAATATTGCTGTATCGCAATATTTTCCAAAAGCATATTTTTATGTAGTTGCTTGGTGTTTTAACTTTGCAAATTACTACAAATTCTAACAGATATTCTAACAAATTATTATAAAATTGAGCACATCCTTCCTATGACAATATATTGGGATACATATTGCAATATATTCATTCTGCATTACAATAAATTGTGACACACTCTTGGCGTATTGTGATACACTCTTGGCGTATTGTGATACACTCTTGGCGTATTGTGATACACTCTTGGTGTATTGTGATACACTCTTGGCATATTGTGATACACTCTTGGCGTATTGTGATACCCCTAGTACATATATAAAGAAATTCCATGTTCTGTTCATCAAATGATCCACAAATTATCATAAAATGTAGGTACTTATTTTTACGAAAAATTTTGATTGACCAAAATAAACCTCATTGTGTCTGTAAACTAAACATAAATTTCAATACAGACATCAATAACTGAGAAATTTCCAGACTCACTTTATTCCTCTAAGTTTCTTTGCCTTGTCTGCCATTTCATGGGCACGGCGTCCCTCCTTCTTCCTCCTGTTAACAAGGTTCAATCAAAGAAATTTGTATCAGCACATTGAAATTAAACCTATAAATCTGTAATATTTTACTCTAAAACAACAGAAGTTGGAGATATATTATTCAACCTACAAAGAAATAGAAAGACAGAGAAAAAAGTAATTACATTTTAACTTAATAATACAATCTGTTATAAAAAGAATCTTCCAATAAATACAAGTTCTGCTTGAAAAACTTTGTTGATTTACATAAACAAAGCATATCTAATTAGTGTATTGCATTTAAATTTGTGGACTGTGTACATGTTCAGGCCGTGAACATAAAACAAATATGATTGCTTTACAGTATTATAAACTGTTATATACAGTGAATATCAACTGCTATACAGTACATATAACTAATATACAGTACACATGTCCTTACTTTCTCTCATGGTAGTCCAATCTGTAGCCATGACGTTTCCTATGGAGTTCTATATGTTCGTTCTGAGGCTGAAAAAAGGACAGAGAGTGCATTTAAAATATGTAAAATACAAATTTTAATTTTAACATGACATTTTCTTTTGTACAATAAAAGTAATACTACAATATTTACATTCTGTATGCTTAGACCCATTAACAAAAATTACATTCATAAATGCATAACACAGGTGTTCATAGAATCTCAGCACGTGGGAACTGATAGTAACCTGATCACACTGCGTAGTAATACACTACAAAAACTACTCACTCGGAACGACCGACCTAGATGCTTAATTCTTACATCTTAAAATATTATTGAACTGTGCTTTGTGAAATATCCACGTATTCACGTGTCCTGTGCTACAAATAAACATTGAATATGGAACTACATTTTGTTGTGTTATTGTTGTTGACGGTTGCTAAGATCTCTCACGATAGTGTCACATTTCCCCGCGAAAAAACACTGTTCTCGCCACTGCGTTGCACCCGTGTATAAGCAGGAACAAACCCTGTTTATTTGTTTTATTCGTTGTTATATCGATCCACTGAAAGGATTCGTCAATGTAAATATAAGGAATGATATTTATTTTTTCAACATTTATGAGGTCATAACAACAATGGGTTTTTGGACATATTTTACATGCAATCGATATGTCCATAACCCATTGTTGTTATGACCTCATAAATGTTGAAAAAATAAAAATCATTCCTTAAATAACAACATTTCCATGTATAACTGTTTGAAATATACTTTGCAGTTGGTCATGATTTCCTGTACAGTTTATACCGTAACATAACCTCTAAAATGTTCAACAATCACTTATATATCTCCTTCTTTTTATTCTAAGATAGCAATAAGATGCACATATCAAGATTCCAAATTACACTTGAATAATTAATATTTATTCAATAATGTGAACTGGGAAACTTTCACCTTATCATATATTTGCCTATCACCTGATGTTAATTTCCCCTGTCACACAAAATTACTACCAGGGTGTATATGTTTGGCATGTTGTATATTTATCATGGTCATGATAAATTTTCCCTCATTTTGACGATTGCATACTTAGCAGATTTAACCAAGTGGTTTGCACTCCAGCCTTCAACAAAGATTTTGGAATTCATGGTACAGGTAGCACAGGATTTTTAGAGAATTTTGTTCTCCGGCCAACTTAAAATAACCTAGGAAGGGTATAAAATGACATGGAGTGGGAGAATAAGTATTTATACTGTAACCTTAAAGAGATGTGACATGATAACAGATGCTACCGTAAGGTCCGATTAATATTATAATGTATATACTGCATTACCAGCACTCTATTAAAAACTTGATAATAATTTTCACTAATGAACTCTGAGCTGTATGATGTAGAATATATATACACAAGACCTCAGTGAGCCTGTACATGTATGTAATAAGCCTAAATGACACTCGTCAAAGAGCAATCGCAGGTTAATTACAGGAAATAGATATTTGACTTCTGGACTCATGATTTTCCTGTAGGGACTACTCCACAATTTGAGCACTCATTATATCTCTTTGTAACGGGACTGTGAATAAAAAATTGAAAACAACATTCAGGATACCTGAAAACACTGATGCAGCTCTGTATTGGAGATGGGACAAATGCAAGACAATGGATTCACATACGACTGATTGTGGTTGAAAGATATATATTTCAAGCTGGTATTTTGACATTTGTCTGTGAAATCGTAAGACTTCAGATTTAATTCTGATTAGTAGCTGTTTATGGTCAGCTATCTACTGTCCGAGTTGTTGCCCATATTTGGTGACAGTAATTGTGGGTTTTTTATTGTTGGGGTTACGCTACAACTGTAGCAGAACTGCGCTGGGTTGTTTGTCGGCGTCCAGGTAGAGCGTCTGTCTAGACTTTGGAAGAGTTCAAGGTTCGAATCACGTTCAAACTAAACACCAGTTTCATTTTGACATAATCAGGTTGGGGAAAACAACCAACTTGGGTATAATACGCAAACAAGCAGTGCTCCAGATAGCTTGCGTGAATGCGTATTCACGCACGATATTTCACAAATTACGCAAAAGAAAAAAATGAACTTGCTTAATTCACGCAAGCAAAATCCGGAACATTGCGTCAGTCTCCGGGTCCAATTTAGCATATTATAATACGCTTACAGTGAGTCACCGAGACGCTTGCATATCAATGCCTCCTGTTACAAACGCTAACACGAGAGAGAATTAAATTATGGCGCTATCAAAATGTCAACAATCGGCGGGTAGTTTTACTTCATTCAAAAATGATTCCAAACTTTTCTGTTTTAGCACAAATTGCATTAACCTTGTGTATAACATCAATAGAATGTGAACGATCATTCAGTGTGCAAAACCGCCTAAAGTCACGGTTAAGATGCTCTCTCAAAGCAGCAACTGTCAATACATTGATGAAAATCAACATGTTAGGACCTGAACTGACTTTGAGCCAAGAAGGGCTGTTCGAATATGGAATGATAAAAAACGAAGAAGGATATGTGTACTATTCAAACGAAAAAAATATGCAACTCATTGAGTTTTGGGTTTAAACATTTAAACACAATCACAGTGAAATGGAAAAATAATACCACATGTCAAGACAACACAAAAATATGAATTTGAGTCATTCTTAACCGTATACTATAAGAATAACACATACAAATTATTCATCTTATTTCAACATTTTCAGGTAACGTTGCTTTTACAGCACTTCATGGTTTAAAATTTAAGTTTTCACCCCAACACTTTGGAGAGGTAGGGGTGAAAAACCCCACATGTTCAAAAGTTATCTGGAGCACTGAACAAGCCTATTATACGCCAGTTGGAGTATGGATTTGTTACTAAAAATAACCCAAATCGCTTTAACGGTAACTTTTGCAAGATATTATTAAAAATCGCATTAATTCACAAGGTAAATAATGTTGCTAAGACGTGGAAGACTACATTCGGATAGAACAGGTAATTTACAAATAGAATATGGATTACAACAAGTTTGAAAACAAATGGTTCCAAATAATCTAACTTAATTACCTTATAGATATGCTAGTATTAAGTATTTTGTAATGTGTGAATGGATGCATGAAAGTTATATGTGTATAAAATAAAATAAATTAAATGTCTTTTTTTGCTATATAGGTATGTATTGGTACTCCAGTTGTAATAAACACAGCAGCATATATAATCGAACAAAAGTATATCTCTGCTCTTCAAGGCAGAATCTGAGTGTAACAAATATATGTTCAATTTGAAACTTTCTCTCGCATTCATGTACCCCGTTGTAAAATTGTGTTGTCATTGTCATTATATTATGCAAAAAGGAAAATAAAAAAGTGTCAAATAAAAAAAAAAAAAAGGTTGCTAAAATATGTTTACTGAAAGCGTTGGGACACTTGATGTAACTTTACTGGAAATATTGCATCTATTTTTGGTACTTTCCCACATGAAAATAAAGTTCCTTTTTGCATTTGTATTATGTTTCATGACCGAATAAATGCGACTTGGACAAACAATTTGAAAAAGTTAAGATTTAAGTTATTTTGGCTATTTTTAGTAACAAATCCATACCCCTATTAACGTGTAATAGGCGAGTTTGCGTGAGTGGATTTCCCCGACCTGTTAATGATAAATAAATGTCTGGCACTACATAAAATATCGTTATGTCAGATAGTGTAATGATGGAGCCAGAGGGAACTCCGTCTAAAGCATGTGTACCAGTGCACGTGTGGATTGGTAACGTTACGTACAGCACTGTGCGAACCCAGATGTTTTTGAACAATGAAACGTATTAGTCTTCTAGACATAAAACAAGTTTAAATTAACTATAAATATTCTATAGAACAGAGTGAACTATTTACCATGTTTGTAGGTGTGCTTGGTTCCCCTTGGTCGTGTTTTTGGTGATGGTGAAATAACGTGCAGCAAATATAAACACGACCTCGCTCTGAAAGGAAGCGGGCTTTGCACCATGATCAAAGATGTAAAAACTAAAACAACCATATATCCCCAAAATAGGACAAATAAATCCGGATTTGTTACTTTTTTTTTTAGATTTTTTCTCGTTGCACACGATATCGATAGAAACTGAAACACCACTGATCTTAATACACACTCAAGTGACGTCTACCTGATGTGGAGAAAAAATATTCAGTACAGTTTGTAGAAATATAATAACAAAAGTCTTGTCAAAATGCAAAACAAGCGAGTTTGGAACAAAAAGGCCTCTGGAGTAGACGGTATTCGTGTCAAAATTTTAAAATCATGTACATATTCTAGTCTTTAGTTTAAACATATTTTATTGCCAAAAAATGCAAAAGGATTGGGCACAAGTTACATGAACATTATTAACGCCCTTTCCTTATAAGATAAATAATTGTATATACACATCATAAGATGGCTTTCATAGTTTAAATCACTACATTTATCTATTATAGAGAGAGAGAGAGAGAGAGAGAGAGAGAGAGAGAGAGAGAGA